ACCCCCTTTGTAAAATCATATATGTAAACTCTGTGATTGGATGTACAATCGTACATGTAACTCCGTATACTAATGCACTCGATACTAGTATACTACGTAGAAGTGTAAGAGTTTCATACTACTTAGAAGTTAGAAAAAGTTCGAGCCTTTTAACTTTTAAATCACGATTTGGACTTATATTCATTAGTAACTAGTAGGAATGGCAATGGGCAGGTCTGGGTGGGTATTTCGATACCCATACTCGCTTCGTGGCAGGTTGGGTCCAGGTCGAGTATTGTAAGTAACTTGCATATTAAACTTATCTTTCAACTCGGCCTGCACAGTTAGAACACTCAAATTTGGTTGAGCACGTACCAAGTGTTTCACGGACTCAGATATAACGTTGACATCAAGATGGCGATGATCCGTCGGTTGAGTCGTACTGCTACTAGTATGCACCAACTAGGCCTTTCTCACGCTCCAATCGCCTCTCACAGCTCCACATCCAAACCACACCATCCAAGGACATTTGTCCTCTTTGTGCATCAAACATCTTATCTTCCAGATTGAAGGTGACGACTCCACCACGTTATACTGAAAGTTGCGTTGTAGTGCATAGTGTTTAATCGCCACCTATGCAGCTTGTTTCGAAGTGAAATATTTGCCCCTTGTAGAATTCTCCATAAAAACCACCAACAATAGGCATTGGAATTACGCCATATGAATCAGCATATGATAATTCCTCGTCCTCTTCATTACCCTGCAAGTAAAAATATGGAGGATAATTAGGTTGTTCTCCTTCCTCCTCCTCATCGTCTTCCTCCTATCCGTCATCACCGTCATCATAGTCATGATCAGATGGCATGCTCCATGTGTCATCTTCTTCCTCTCCACCCCAATCCTCACTGAGCTCAGCATGTATCTCAGCACCCAAACAATAAGGATTTTGTGTCATAAAATTCCAAAGCACATTTAAGCTATCATCATCATCGACAATAGGCATCACTTAATGAAATAAAACATCATTCTGCCATTCTGGAAGATAGTAAGTGAAACCTGTAATCACAACACTATCTTGTACTTCTTCGTCTCTACGTCGTATTCTCCGAATTAGATTATCACAAAGTTTCTGATAGTTCACCCTGGATGGAATAGTCATCTGAAAACTTACATTACCAACGAAATGGACACCCAAATTGTCCTCTACTTTCTCTGAGTTCCACCGAACAACTAGTTCAAATCTTCTAAAACCACTACATAAAAAACAAACTCACTAATTACTAACTAGACAAAATCATTATGAAGAATACATTAAAAAAATAAATACGTCTCTTACCTATTATTAGCCATCTTCCTAGGCCCCAGCAACCAGACAGCAACACTAGAGCTTCTTTCAGAACTTCTTTCAGTTTTTTGGTGGTGAAGAACCGAAGGAAAGGTGGAGTATATATGGTGATGGTGGTGCTGGAGTGGAAGAAAAGAAGGCAGCGACAAAGCCTCAGTCTGGGGCGCCGCCACTTTTATTTTTTTTCAAGCGCCAAAGCCCCAGTCTCGGGCGCCGCCGCTGGATTTTATTGAAATAAACACCTAGCAGTCGCGCCTAAGTCTAAGACTTGAGCGCTTTCAACATACAAAAAACACAATATTCTTGTAAATAGTTTTTAAACCACTATATTGGTAGTAAAAAAAATATATATTTAGGGAATTAACCCCACAATATGAAGCGGACGATAGACTACTCATGTCCCATGGGGGAATAATTCAATTAAATATAATAATATATATATATATCTCACACAGTTCGAAAACTGATCGTAAAGGCCCAACTCAGGTACGTTTGGCAAGAGCAAATCTCGGGGACTCCGATGTTCCAACTCTAGGAAAAACTTAAGACCTTGCGGCATCTTCTCTACGATTGGAGTAGGGCTGGGACTACCAATTCGCTTCGTAATATCAAGACGGACATTGCCTATCACTTCTATCAAAATCTTTTTACTGCAGAGAATCAGGTGCACAACATGAAAGAGCGGGTCAATGGACTTGCGATTGCTCCTAGTGTAACTCAGGAGATGAATGAGATGCTTACGGCGGAGGTTCTGCCTAATGAGATTCGTAAGACAGTGTTTACCATGGGATCCAAGCAGGCCCCTGGCTCGGATGGCTTTACCGGGAAGTTCTTTAAGGCCTTTTGGGATATTGTTGGCGACTCTGTAATTGATGCTGTCCGGTCTTTCTTTGCCACGAGCAGGATGCTTCGAAGCTTAAATCATACATGGCTAACATTGATTCCTAAGGTGGATAATGTGGAGAACAAGAAGGAGTTGAGGCCAATCAGCCTGTGCCAGTTTGTTTACAAAATTATTACCAAAATCATGGCATCAAGGCTAGCCAATATCCTACCGGGAATTGTTTCTAAAGGGCAAAATGCGTTCATTCGTGAACGACAAATTATAGCGAACATCTTGATTGGTCACGAATTGATGCACTATTTGAAAATCAAGACGCGTGGTACGACAGGGTACATGGCTCTAAAGGTTGACATGGAAAAAGCCTATGATAGAGTTGAGTGGCCCTTCTTGATCGCAGTCCTCGAAAAAATGGGGTTCAATTCCGTGTGGATAGGGTGGATCCATGAATGCCTTCGATCAACTTCCTTTTCGGTCTTAATGAATGGGACCCCATCAGGGTACTTCAGGCCGACTCGTGGGCTTTGTTAAGGGGATCCTTTATCCCCCTTGCTTTTTGTGATCTGTACTGAGGGCTTTGCTGCTTTTCTACGCCAGGCAATTGTTGATAAAAGGTTAAGCGGGGTGAAAGTTGCTCCCAGAGCTCCCTGTATTTCGCATTTATTTTTTGCAGATGATTCCTACTTGTTCCTGAAAGGCAATCTGTAGGAATGTGAAAATCTGATCGAAGTTCTCAATGAATATGAGGAGCTGAGTGGGCAACGGGTTAATTTAGGCAAATCCGCGGTTTGTTTTAGTAAGAATGTAAACCTCGCTGATCAAGAGTTCCTGGCGGCAATTCTAGGGGTAGGTGCGGTTGGAGTCCATGATAAGTATCTGGGCTTACCGACCCTGATTGCCCGATCAAAGATGGCTACCTTCCGTTACCTGGAAGACAAATTGTTGGAGAAATTACAAGGCTGGAAGCAACGTACTTTGTCGTGGGCAGCAAAGGAGACATTGATTAAGTCTATAGCTTTAGCGCTTCCGCTCCATGTGATGTCTTGTTTTAGGCTGCCTTTGACTTTGTGTAAGCTTCTGGACAAGCATGTCGCTCGATTTTGGTGGGGGGTAACGGAGGGCCAGTCAAGAATTCACTGGGTATCCTGGAAAAATATGTGCAAAAGTAAGCATGATGGGGGCATGGGCTTCCGTCGATTTGAACATTTCAACCAGGCTCTGTTAGCTAAGATTGGTTGGCAGATCCTCCAGGATCCCCAATCCTTATTGGCGCAGGTTTATAAAGGCAAATATTTCCCCACGGGGACCTTTCTTCAAGCAAAAGCTCGTTCGAGGCCTTCCTGGGGTTGGCAGAGTATCCTCCATGGGAGACAATTGCTTGAGCAGGGATTACGTTGGCAAATTGGGAATGGGGAATCGGCTTCCTTGCTCTTCCCGAATTGGATCCCTCTCCTGCATCCTGAGAAACCGATTTATAATCCGCAGGTGCTCCCGACTGAGGGAGACCCGAGGGTGGCGGAGGTTATATCTCAGGATGAGGGAGGGGGTTGGTGCGAAACCAAGTTGAGTCAATGGTTTGACCCTGGTACGTGCAGAAAAATCTTGGCTATTCCTCTTCCAAGACAGGATCGGCCGGATAAGTTGATTTGGCATGGCACGTCTGATGGTGTGTTTTCTGTCAAGACTGCTTATCACCTGGCGGTTGATCTGGCACGAAGGAAGGAGTGTTGGCGGGCTTCGGCCAGTTGGATGGATAGGGCCAGCTGGTCTGGCTTTGGAGTTCGGATATCCCGCCGAAGTTGAAGGTTTTCATTTGGCAGATTTTCCATCGTATCCTCCCTACCACTGAGGGCCTTATTGAGAAGAGTGTTCCGGTTCTCCCGCGGTGCCCAGTTTGTTGGGAGGCGCCGGAGACTATGGAACATCTTTTCTTGGATTGTCCAGTGGCGAGGGCCTTATGGGATTATTCGGGTCTTGAACACCTGGGGCAAGGGTTGTCGCGTCACACCTTTCCGCTGTTTCTTAAAAGGTTGTTTGCCTTGATTCAGCAGCCTCAACTGATTATGGCCGTGGTAGCGGTGCTGTGGAGAATTTGGAAGTCGCGTAATTGGGTGGTGTTCGAAGGCAAGCAATTTGATTTTCCTACCCTGATGCGTCAGTACCACCAGCAATGTGAAGAGTGGAAACGTGTGCCTGCTGATGAGAATGAGGTACGGCGTAGCCCTATTGTGCACCCGCCAGAGGGGCGGGAGTGCTCCTCGCTGGTTTGTATGTGGGATGGAGCGACAAGGGCAGGGTCTCACTCGGCAGGTGGCATTGTGCTTCTTGATTTCAATAGGGAGATCCTCTGGGTGGTAGGGATTCAGTTTCAGGCTATTGAGGATCCTCTGGTGGTAGAAGCTCTCGTTCTTAGGGACGCTCTGTTATGGTGCGTGGCCAATGGACTCCAAGAGGTGCGATTTGAAGGCGATGCCAAGGTCATCATCGATAAACTTAATCAAGCTGAGATTAGAGATAATAAGATTGGGGTGATTTTGGAAGAAATCTGGCACTGCTTGGAGTGTAATCCGGGGTTTAGTGTGCGATTTGTAGGTCGGAGGAACAATAGGGTAGCCCATGTTGTGGCTAGAAAGGCCCTTTCTTTGTACCCGTCTACGTCTCGCTCGTTTAATTTTCAGGTCTGGCTGTTTTCCAGGGTGTAATGTGTCTTCTTTTAATCAATATATATGATTATCTTTTGTAAAAAAAAAAAAAAAAAATCGTAAAGGCGCTTTCAGTATCAATCAATTGGCTCCACTCCCTTTCTCCGTCCTTTCCCCATTTCCGCGCCAATCCATGGCTCAGATGTGCTCCATCTCGTTCTCCCCGGCTTGTATCTCTTCTCCCGCCTCCGCCTCCGCCTCCGCCTCCTCCTCTGCCGCTCCGTTCTTCCTCCTCTCCTGTTCTAGTCGATTCGACTCTCCGTTGCACCGCCGCGGTTTCCCTGCCCGTGCATCCGTCTCCATGGCTTCCGAATTCTCCCGCGCCGCTTCCTTCGCCGTCGGCGAAAGCTTCCCCGACGATTACGGCGACTGGCTTCCCAAGCGCGATCCGGAGTCTCGCAGGAGAGCTGGCGTCTTGCTCCATCCTACTTCCTTGAGAGGACCTCACGGCATTGGAGATCTTGGTCAGGAGGCGTTCCGATTCGTCGATTGGCTGAGCGACGCCGGTTGCTCCGTTTGGCAGGTTTGTCGAATTTCCGTTAAATTTGCGAGTCATGTAATCAGGAGAACGATTCTGCACCATTGTTTTCTGTAGAAATTTTTTGTCTGCATAGGCGCCGAGATTCCTTTGACACCGCTCCGTTTTAGTTAACTAATTAGGAATTCGTTATTGCTCATTGATGGAGAAGGTGTTAGATATATCAATGCAGTAAGTAAAGCTAGCAGAATCAGGATGGAAATGTATTAATCAATGTGTCTGTTTTACAGGTTCTCCCGCTAGTTCCACCCGATGATGAAGGATCACCGTACTCGGGCAAGGTGACTGTTTTTCGACTTACAAGCCATAGCTGTTGAACATTTCCAGCGAGAACTATGAAAAGCACCTTTCTTCTGGTGTTGAACTCAGGACATTTCTGTGCATGTTGACTGAATGGTAGAACTGCTGTTCAGGATGCTAATTGTGGTAATACCCTCTTGATTTCTCTTGAAGAACTTGTAAAGGATGGTTTGTTGTCAGAAGATGAGCTTCCGGAACCTATGTGAGGAATTTTGGTATACTTACTTGTGGATTGGGAGATCATTCTGTTGGTGCTTTGTTATCTGACCTCTGTGAACATTTCGCTAATCGTGCAGAGATGCTGAACGTGTAAACTTCTCTGCTGCTTCAGAATTGAAGGATCCATTGATCACCAAGGTAACTCATCAAGAGCAGAATTTCTGTTGAGCTCTCGTTTTCCATAGGCACACAACTCTGGTAGGAGCGGTCTTCAGGTTAATTGAAGAAAAGGTGCCGGATTGCCAAGTTCTGCATCTCTTAAGTTGGACTTGACTATATCTACTCGATTTTTTTTTTAATCTTATGAGTTAATCTAAACATATCAATAGCAATTATTTCATAGTATGCCTAGTCTTGATTCAACAGCTCATGTTGGACCTTTATTAGGCTGCAGAGAGATTGGTTAAGAGTGACTGTGAACTTAAAAGACTCCTGGATAATTTTCGTAAGGACCCCAGCATATCAAGTAAGGCTTCTATTTGTGGGTATTATCACTCATGCACTGATATGCATTGGTAACTTTGGGTTACGTACTATGTCATTTTGTTTTAATCTATGATTTTGGTAGGGTAATTGGACGCACAGCTTGTAATTTAGATAACTGTTCTATCCCAAAAGGACTTTTACTGCTAATGTTATTTTTTCAAAATAAATTCTGTGGAGTATTTCGTCTTTGGGCCAGTTATCTATCTACTTTTCATGTCGTTTGTTTTCCTTGCTTTAGCTTCTCTTCCCTTATAATGCTGGTAACACAACAATACTCTCTGTTTGCCAAAGATAGATGCTTTAAAAGGTAGCCACTTTTGCAGGTTGGCTTCAAGATGCAGCTTACTTTGCTGCCATTGACAATTCGATGAACACACTGGATTGGTATCAATGGCCTGAACCTTTGAAAAATCGGCACCTTGCTGCTCTGGAAGACATTTATGAACGAGAAAAGGACTTCGTACGGATAAACGGAACTTCTTTTTTTACTTCATTTATCAACAATATCTGAGTTTGTGAACCTGATGCTGGAGGCGTTAATTGTTACCCTATCTTGATTTCTCTGGCTCAGATAGACATATTTATTGCACGGCAGTTCTTATTCCAGAGGCAGTGGAGGAAACTTCGTGCCTATGCGCAGAAGAAGGGAATCAGTATAATGGGAGACATGCCCATTTATGTAGGTTATCACAGTGCTGACGTTTGGGCCAATAAGAAACACTTTTTACTGGTAAGGAACTCTCTGTGAGTGCTTCTGAATTTTCTCTAGATGCATGTTAGCCATACTATTGTTGGTACTGTTTTTTAGTCATCAATTCTACATTGTTTCTTCCAGAACAAGAGTGGCTTTCCTCTTCTCGTGAGTGGTGTGCCACCTGATGCCTTCAGTGAAACTGGTCAATTGTGGGGCAGGTCTGTCCTGAACTCGGCTGTTAAACCAGATTTTTGTTCTTTGAATATTCCTTTTCATTTCCAGTTTTATTTTAGCTCTGTCAATGTTAACAGAAAGTGGCTTTCGAGGAACTACCAATGCCTTATATTTTGTGGGTGAATTTCTTTGTTCTGGTGTGTCATTGAGATTTGAAACACACTGCCTGCAAATCTAAATGTCAAGGGACTGTGCAGATAAAAAGAGATTAAATTCTTGAAAGGAATGATGGAACATTAAGACTTGGAAGCATCTTTATCCATAAGTTGCAAGTAGTTAAACATCTATCACAAAATTTAACAGGCATGTGAACTGAATGAATCCAAACTAATGACGGTTTTGCGACTCTTTATTTTATTAGTACATTGGCAATGATCTCCAAATGATTGGAATTCTCTTCAAGATGCAATGTGCTATGGACCTCATTTCCCAAGTTACTTCCCACCCGGAAAGTAAAAGATAAGATAATGATTGAGGTAGATCAGTTGGTGGTTCATGTCCATGTCATGTCAGCGACACATTGTGTAATCTATGTTGTATCGTGATAAAGCATACACTTCTTTCTGCTTCTTTTCCTTTACCTGTCTGACTTCTTTGTACTCCAAATGAGTTCTCTTTTGTACTGCTATTTGATGGGCAGTTATATGTAATTACTTCCAGCATTAGATTTCTAAGTCTGTATTGATAGCATTAGCAATGGCCAACTAATACCAGAAATGATTATTGCAGATTGTTTTTTCGTTTTCCTTGTTTGTAGTTTTTCTGATGCTTTCTTGAAGTTATCCTACTTAAGCTGCCAAAGGTTTACTCAACATCTGCCAACTTACTCGTTGACTTGACATATGACTTGAAGCCCTTTATATGACTGGACCTCAATGGAGAATGATGGCTTTTCTTGGTGGGTAAAACGCATACGACGGGCTCAAGATCTATATGATGAATTCAGGATAGATCATTTTAGAGGGTTTGCTGGTTACTGGGCTGTCTCGTCTGGTGAGGATATTTTCAGTTTTTATCTATTTTTGTCTGTAAAATTTGAAATAGACACATCTTACTAATGATCAGTTACATCAATTTGCAGAGGCAAAGATAGCAATGATTGGAAACTGGAAGGTCTGTTTTCTTTCATGCAAACAATATTAATGTTTCAGTTCACTGTGCTATTGTTGACTCGGCCCTTTCTTTTGATGGCAGTAGGCAGGACCTGGAAAGTCATTGTTTGATGCCATCTCTAGAGCTGTTGGTGATATAAAGATAATAGCTGAAGATTTGGTATGCAATTTTCGGTCTAAGAGACTGAATTTCCCTTTTTTCTTGTTAGAGTGAGCTCAACCATGGCAAACACATTACCCTGTAACAATTTTTTAAGCCCTTTTATCATGGAGAGGATTCTAATTCAAAAGATCAGCTACCAATCACTATAATTTTCATTGATTTTGCAATATTACGAGGATGAGTTTTAGTTTTCACTCCAAAAATTATTACCATCCTGCCCCAAATTTTCTTAGTTGGGGCAATGACAGAACTTTCTATTCTGCAGTAAAGTAAAGTAATTTTCTTTGTCATTTTTGTGCATCATGGAAGCAGTTAATGCAATGACCGTTACTCAAGTTTAAGTCTCATGAGACATTTCATCATAAAAAATATCAACCTAGCTGCATGTTCTTGATTGAATTTGCACAAAAAAGTCATTTTCTTCATATCATATTCTGATACCTTTCTGTGCAATTGCAGGGAGTAATCACTGAGGATGTAGTTGAGCTCCGAAAATCAATTGGTGCACCTGGAATGGCTGTGCTCCAATTTGGTAAAAAGTTGTCAGCTTGTACTTCAAGCTTTGTGTGTTAAGCATTCACGTTTCTTGATATGCTATGCATTTGCTTGTTTTAGCTTTTGGAAGTGACGCAGAAAACCCGCATCTGCCTCATAACCACGAGACCAATCAAGTTGTGTACACCGGAACTCATGATAATGATACGGTAAAGGAGAGACTTATACGCGAAGAAACATGTCCTAAAGTTCTGCATAATAACCTCAAGTTAATGAAGCTGAAGTAATGGTGTCCCTCTGCTGATAATTTTCATCTTTCTTTATAACTGTAACAGATTCAAGGCTGGTGGGATGTTCTGCAGCAAGAAGAGAAGATGAACGTGAGTCTTCCTGTCCTTGTGAATCACATACACATAGAACTGACATCCAGTGCAATACTGTCAAAAGCGATAATTTATTGCTGTTTGTGGCATTTTATTTATGTAAGGTGTTGAGGTATACTTCAATTACTGAAGATGATGACATCCCATGGGCACTGATCCGAACTGCACTCTCGTCAGTTGCCCGGACAACAATCATACCAATGCAAGATATTCTTGGGCTGGGGAACTCTGCAAGGATGAACATTCCTGCTACCCAGGTAAAAGCACACTTCTTTCTGATCTTTGCAGTCGAATAGTATGACCTCTGTAGGAAAATCCAATTATCAGACAGTTAAGGCTGCTTTTGGTTTTATATCCTCGTCCCAGATTTGAAAAAACAGCCATTTCTTGCAAATCATGAGACTGGCCTTGACATGGCAAATCCAATCCACTAAAGTGGGTCGAGTTCAATTTTCTTGACTCAAATCTGTGTGAATCCAAATCCATTGAGTTGATAGGTTGCCCGGTTGCCCTGAAATACCTTTCATTAAGGCTGCTTTTGGTTTTAATATCCTCGTCCCAGGTTTGAAAAAACAGCCATTTCGTGCAAATCATGAGACTGGCCTTGACATGGCAAATCCAATCCACTAAAGTGGGTCGAGTTCAATTTTCTTGACTCAAATCTGTGTGAATCCAAATCCATTGAGTTGATAGGTTGCCCGGAAATACCTTTCATTAGCTAAATATTTCAGGTCTTACACTTAGTACGAAAATGTAGTGGGGTCTTACATATTTGTCATCGAAACTTTCGAAGTCTTGCCTTGATCCGTTTCCAGTGTCCTACAAAGTTTCCTAGTCCTCCAAGCTTCACTTACCTCAATGTAGGTCTGTTTTGTAGTCTTTGGTTGACCTGGCAGCGAACCCGTTAAACCATGAATCATATCCATCTATCACGTAACACTGCGAGGCCTGGTCTCAAAACTAACTTAATGAACGGTGTGGAATCTTAAGCACCCAAGCTCTCCTCCAGTCCATGCCAGCCTCTTGCGTCCAACGCAACCCATTGTCTTACGTTTTGCATATATCCTTAGCCTGTTGTTGCTAGCATCTCCTCCAGTCCATGGCAGTCGCTTGCGTCCAACCACTCCATTGTCTTACGTTATGCATATCCTTAGACTGTTGTTGCTAGCATTTCACTCCTATCCTCATGTATCTAACTAAATTCATCCTGCCCCCTGTTTAATATTTCACAACAGTCTGGAAACTGGAGTTGGAGGATGCCAAGTTCCACGAGTTTTGAACAGCTAGGAAAAGAATCGAAGAGGCTGCATGAGTTGCTTTCATTGTACGGACGCCTGTAAGTTAGGTGTCTATAGTTTATAAACCATGAAAGGCCTTACCACTGGCCAGTATGTTATTAGTTCCTGTAATACAATTTCTCTCTTCACAATGATTCTTTACATTTCAAATAAACCCCATTTTGGCAGATCAAATGTAATGAGAGTTACACAAATTCGCAATAAAGTAAACTCTAAGTCTTCTTCTATATGCCACTTCCCTTCATTATAGTTCTCCATTTCATTTCCGCGCATTTTTACACAATCGAAAAAGAACTACTGGAGATATTAGGCAGCTGCTGCTTGCTCGATGGCAGTGATGCATTCTAGTACGGATGCCTTGTTCGACATGGCCTTCATTAGCGCTTCGTGCAGCGACCTGTTGTTCTTCAGAAGAGATGCAGCAAATAGGGCCTGCGTTTAACATGGGTCATTCTCGTCATTCTTTGCACTTGCAGGCAAACATACAGTTGGTGTAAGAATTAGCCGCACGAAAGAGAAAGAGGGGGAAATAAAGATTGCTTACTGCCCATCTGGTGAGATTTTGTTGCTGATCTTTGCTCAGATTTGGCTTAGTCCTGTTTAAGAACCTCTACAGGCCAAAATAGATAAGGGTAAAATATCAGCATTCAAATGTTGAATCTTAAATTGTTATTGCAAGTGTTCAGCCGACTGCCATAGTAGCATTGTCCTTGGTAAAACCGCTGTACTCATTGCCACAACTGGCACTGTGAATTTGAATATACCTGAAGGCTGATAAGGTCGGCTGACTGACCGATCACTTTGTCATACTGCAGACCTTCTGCAGCCAGTCCAGCCATTGCAACAACTGCCAACCTGAGAACAGAAGAATGCAGTTGGCTCGACGTCATAATAGTAGAACATACGGAGCAATGAGTTACCAGAGTATTACCTGTCAAGTTGTTTCGAATCAAGCTGGCCGCTATAGATCAACTTCTCCAGCTTCTCGTCGATGAGATTGACATGCTCTTTCCCGATATCCAGCGAGTAACCCAGGATTGGAAGCCCAATCAAGTACGCAACTGAAACAAACAAAGAAGCAACCCGCCAAGGCGTGAAGATCACGACCCAGTGGGGCAGATTGTTTGAACAAAAAGGTTTGGAGAGTACCTAGGAAGTGAGCAGCTTCATGTCTAGTTAACCTGTCCTGGTAATCCGGGAAGAATGAGGAAAAGCCGTTAATGGCGACCTGAAGCAGCCTACAATGGACTGGGTCAGCCTAATCAGTATGGTAAAATGTCTGGTTAGTGATGATCATCTTAGGAACAAACCCGATACCTACCCAGGTGCAGTGCTCCCAATACCCAAAACTACTAGGGAAATGCTCCCGATTAAGTATGGCACGAAGAACCCCCAATCCTGCAAGTAAATATTGGAGTCAGTCAGGGAGTCTTAATTTTCTTTTGGGCAATGAACTAATAATCTTCTGCTATGGAAGGCTGGAGGTTTCGTTACCCCTGGGAGCTGACCGGCAAGGACTCCTAGAAAACTTGTTGTTCCGACCACCGTGATAAGGAAAGCTGCCTGTTTTCAGCAAAGCAGATTAGTCATTTCTGTGTAGCTAGGCTGAAGGAAATGCTTCTCGGATTAGTCAAGGACGACATTCATGCAAGATGTAACTGAGCACAAGGTTGATCATGATTTTTGCAGCTTGCAGCCATCATGAAGCCAAATGATAGTTCCAACTTCATAATGGATTTTCCACAAACAGCAGAGGTGTGGCTCAATGTGTGGTATGTTCATGGTGGCGATTGTTGCCAATGAAATGGGACGAGAAGGCATGTGTACTTACATCGTTCCTAACGCTTGGGATTGCGAGGTTCTCTGCGTTCTTAATCCCAAGCGTGGTGAGCTCCCGAAGAGATGTCTGCCTACGAGGTAAAAAGAGAGCCCCCGGAAGGAAACATTTGTGCCATAAGCAAACAGCGAAATGGAATGCAATAAGCATCCAGGTACCGGTAGGGATTGAAGTAGCAATAAGCATCCAGGTAACGGTAGGGATTGAAGTAGCAGGGAAGACTGACCGTCCGACGAGAGACATATGGCTGAGAACTCCATCTCTTTGCCCAGCCAAGTTCGCTCAGCTGATCAAGCGCCTCCTTCACTGCAGTGCTGTCTTTCTGCACCACCCAAACACTAGATTCAGTTCCGGCCAATGCATGCTGAACGATTATCAATGGGGGAAACTCACTGAACTCAGCCATGGTAATATCCTCAGTTAACTTTTTGTTTTTGTTTTAACCTCATTAAGAGCTAGAGTTCTAAGAGCTTCTTCTTCAGAATCCTTATATAACCTTTATTCTATTGCAATCGACTGAACATCTAAGGGCATCGATTCAGAGCCTGATTCGAGGGCAAAGATTAGACGAAGGAGATGGAAGACCTAATCATCTCACCTTTGAAATGGCGGATTCGAGGGTGCTGAGATCCACGCTGCCGCCGGCTGGTATGGCGGAGGACGAAGCCGACGATGAGGCGGCTGATGCTCGGATGCGGAGCTTGTGGAAGGTGATGGCGGTCGTGGAAAGGGAAGAAGCCATTGTTGTAGCAGAAATTCCCAGCATTTTCTTTTGAGGATTTGGGGGTTTCTTTGTGGAGAGCTTAGCCTAGCTTGGCGATAAGGTTCTTCAGGGTTTGTATTTGGCGCGCGGGTCTGTTTTGTACACGTGTTCCATGATCCGCCCTCCAATTTTTTTTAATTATTTTCCTCCATCTTTTATTCGAAAATTACAAAAGAGGTCCCCATAAACAAACATTTACAAGGACGAACATAGCAAGATGTCACGACTTTGTTTTATACTAAGTCTTGCTGGCTGTTAACGATAATTTGCTAAATTGTTTACTGACTAAAAAAGAATCTCCCACGGGTATTAGTGGACTAGCTTATTACCCGGCCCGTTGGTCGGATTACTGTATGTTACCCACTTGTGGAATGGGAGAGAAAGCAAGTGAGAGTGAAGGGATTGGGATTTCACTTGATTAGGATCGACCCACTAATCTGATTCTTCCCGACCCGCCCCAACCTAAAGGGTCAGAAAGAGTCAATAAGAAAATACGAACGGAGAGGATTAGTCATATATCTTGACTCTTCAGAAGTGGGTCAAACATGATCAAGGTTGGGTGAGGGCAATTTTTAGCGCTAAGCAGAGTTCTGGGTTGAATAACTTTACTTAGGCCTAGAAATTGGTGCTGATGCAGATTGCAGTTTTTATTATACCATCATCAATCATCATTGAATTAGTCCTGGGCATCCCTTCCCGTTGTCGGTCTGAATTCTAATGATGGCTTCACTCCTTGCACCAGCCATATCAGTGAGTTGTCATCTCGAGCATGATTTGCCTATGTACAAATGATACAATTAGAGTATGAAACTGAATTCAAAGAAAAGGAAAAGAGAATTCTATCACATGCCAATAAATACACACATAATAGTTGAAGCTAAGTGAAAGTCATTACTCGCACATCAATTCTAAAAAATTACAGACTAAACAATGGCTAGAATGGCACTGAAACTACCAAGAATCATGGACGAAACAACTTGTCAAATTAAATAATCCTTACACTGAAACTACCTTCTAACTTGAAATAAGACATTATCACAGTTCATAGCTCTCTTCTCACTATGAATTGGTTGCATCTCGTCCTTATCACTGCCTCCCAAGCTCAATTCAAACAGAATAGAGACTGTTATGTAAGATAACCATATCCTTACTGATCATAATTCCTTTCTTCACTGCATTTTTGTCGGAGAAAAGAGTTATCCCCCTCTCCTGCATTTCCCTTTTCCCCCTCTCTTCTCCCTCTTCTTCACAAACCAATCCCTAAAACAGCAACAACAACACAAAAATAGCATTCGCCTCTGCCATCTCCATCTACTGAACGCGTTGGTGGCAAGACAGGACTGCAGAAGCAAAATTTTCAGATGGTTGGTTTTGATGTTATACGTTGCTTTATCCAACTTGTCAAATTAAAGCAACAATTCTAATAGTTCAGATGGTTGGTTTTGATGTTATACGTTGCTTTTGTTCTGGTCTCCAGTATATCAACTACAACAGAGATGTTTCCTCCAATCATCTTTAGTGCACGATTTAGAAGCAAGTCCTCCTGTTTGTGTCAAACGGAAACATTCATGGGTTCTTAACTCCCCTGTTAGTGTAAATGCAGCAGCAGCAAAGAAGTTTGACAATACAGCGAGCACCCAGGCAAAATGATACAATGCAGTAGGTGATATGTGTCTCGAAGGTTTTGAGTTACTAAAGTTCATGTTAAAAATAAACATGAATTAAAATGGATTATTCTATTAAGCAAACATCCCCTCTAATCATACAAAGATCAAATATCCAATTCACAAACAATTAAGCCATAAAAAATCATCACAGATCCACCACCTTTGATTGCCTAAATTTGGTTTTTCGCAAAGTTATGGACTCTTAAGGGTAACGTTCATGGGTAGTCTGTTTCATAACTCTAGAGAGCACAGTAAACAGCCACCAGCCAGACACAGTGCGGTAGGCGAATATGATTCTCAATTCACAATTTCTCACAACCGGAAGTAAGAACAGACCATAATAAGCGTAGCGTTCTTGGGCGGTCTGTTTCATAGCACTACTACACAATTTGTTAAAAAAGAAAGAAAGGTATTTAGCATCCCGACGGAACAACTTTTACAGGCCAACAACGACAACATGCTGCAACCACCAGAACTGGTATCACAACTCATAGGGAAAATCAAAAGATTTACTCTCAAATTAAGTAGTTACAACATCGAGCAATCGTCAAGCACATACACCATCACAAAAGTCACGGAACCTGATTCGCAAAGCATTCAAACATTTGAGGACATTTCTGCAAAGGTACAACTTATATGTCTTTTTTCCAAGCCATTTCCATTAACATGCTAATAAATTTGCAATGAATAAAACAAACTGGCTAAAACTTGAAATTCAGCCTGTTTGACCGACCCATGCCAAATCCTAATTATTCTTTAATTTTAAACTTTCTATTTGAAAATAAAAATAGTGAAAGAAAAGAGATGACTGCAATTCACCATTTGCACATCACCTATTCGCGAATAAAACCATAGAAATTCAAAAGGAACTGAAAATGTTTAGGATCGTTTTAATGTTTAAAATAACCAAATTGATCTTTCTGTTTAGTTTTTTACGAACAAATATCAAACGATTCCCTATAAAATACACTATAATTTGATCATTATGATATCAAATAATTATATAATATATATTTGAAATGATAAAAATTGGACTAATTGGGTTGGTCGAGGTTGAACCATTGAATAACTTTAAAATACATTATATTTTAGCCACTAAGATATAAAATAATAGCATAATAGATATTATGCCAGAGAAAATAGCTTGTTTTAGAATGGCAAACCAATGATGTTCATTTGTTTTACTTGATGGGTAAATCCCGTGTAGGTCAGACCCATTCAACTCTTTTATTTTATGGTTAGCGGTTAGCCATTAGATACCATTCATTAGTTTATTGTTAAATTTTTTATTTTTAACAATAAAAAGGAGTATAATTTTTTCCTTTTCATATATATTTTATCACCACGGAGAAATAAAAGGGCTTAAAGAAAAAAATTGACACTCTTGGACCCATTTAAATCTGCAAGTGTACGGTAAGTTGGCCCGTTCCACAGAGGAAAGATAAAAAAAATTGACACTCCCTATTCTACCCTTCCTACAAACGCTCCCGGAGCAGGGAATTTGAAATGGGGGAAGAGTTATTTCCTCCATGCTATTATATGTTTTTAATTTAAAAAGATACAACAAATCTACTTAGTTTGATTGGTTATGATCCTTGCTTTTCTATAAAATGGTCATGGTTCGAATCCCAGTACGTGTCTTTTTAATGAATAAAAATAAGTTATTGTGAAGACCAAAATGCCCTTCCTACTTTCACTCTCGTTGCAGGAAATTTGAAACGGGGAAGCTGTTTTCCCCTTCCGCGTATTGTAAGTATAGTAGATTTCCCATTCTCCCATATGCGATTTGTAAAACGTAATACGATTTAGGAAATGACAAAAGTTTGAAAAGAATTAACGGTTCGAAGAAGAAAAAAATTGAGAAAGATAAAAGAGAAAATAATCAAAAAGTATGTTGCTAATTTTTTTATTAAATATGCATAACGAAATCTATGAACCAATACACATTTAAGCGTAAGCGTCAATGGTGTATTGGTGTTTTTAAGGTATGGTTAGGCTTCGACGGCAAAGTCGTTTATCCTCGTTAATAGTCCGATTCACCAATCAACGAACTGCGGTCTGCGGAGTATTAAGGACGAGATTGTAATTATCTTAAATATGTAGTGCCGAGAGCGGGAAGAAAGAAAGTATTTGTACTGAAAATTACTCAGTATTGGTTCGTGAATGGTGATTGACAATTGACAAACCCCAAAATCCAAACCTCTCTAAAACCCTAATTCCAGCGTCTTTCTTTTCCTTCGTCTTCTCTCCAGTCTCGATCGGAAGCGAGGGCTGAAAATGGCAGTGACGAAGCTCCTGCTCTCTCAATCCCGCCGCCATTTCACCGCCAGAGTTCCCTCTCAGTTTCTGCTATCTCAGAGATGGTTCTCCTCCGACTCGGATCCCAATCCAGCTCCACCTCCACCTCCAAATCCGCGAGTTTCACCAGTGCTCGTCCAGCCAGTCTCCTACGCGCCGAAGCCGAAGCAACCGGAGCCGGAGCCCAATTCCGAAGCCGCATCCTCGCAACAGAGTAGTGCTCAGTCATCACAGCAGCAGTTCACGAGACGGCCGCGGGAGTTCCCGGCGAGCCCAGAAGCTCGGACGAATTGGACGCGGGAGGAAGCCCGATACGTGAAGGACTCGCCTAACGTCGTGCCTGTTTCATACGCTCCTCGGGTTGCTCCATTGCCGGAGGACAAGCTCGGAACTCAAGGAGGAGAAAATGGTGGTGGTGGCGTGGAGGGGAGTGCTAAGGACGGAGAGGACATGCAATCGGAGACTCGCCGGATTTTATCGGAGAATAGGGCGATGAGGCGTATAAGGCAGATGGTGCCGGAGAAAGAGCTGGAGGTTGTTCCTTTCCCTAGATTGATCGTGCCGGTGAAGAGGACGGAGAAGAGGCCGCTTCTGGAATTGATGGATGCCATTCGTCAAGTAAAGGTCTGTGCTTCCGTGCTCTTGGTGCTTGTAAATTGGATATCGCTAAGTTATCCGAAACTTGTTGTTGACTGTTTCTTGCATAATTGTTCAGGCTAATGCCAGGACGACATTTGATGAAACTATTGAAGCGCATGCGAGATTGGGCATTGACAAATCTCGATCAGACCTGGTGGGTACCGAAATAGAATAGGTAGATTGTTCTTATTGCTTCGTGTAGTTAGCCTGTGGAATTAGAATGAGCAGATATAGGCTTAGCCTATCAGGGATTAAAAAAAGATTTCCTAGAATGTGCATTTTGTGACTAGTAACTGTCCATGTTTTTTTGCAGTGAACTAGTAACTGTAGATGAAAAGCTCTTCTGTGTGATTTTTAATAACCTGACTTCTGAACCAAGCTTATGGTTGAACATATCTTGAGGGAAATCATCTTAGTTGGTGATATTGGTTATACCCTGACATTCATATTTATTTGGGAGAAAGGAGTTTTGTTCCTTAGTTACAGGCAGATGTCGTAATTCACTATCCTGAGGTCCTTCGAATTGATTGTTTCTCTTTAACCCAACGAGCTGCTCGTTGTCTAGGACGTACCCTGTTGAAAGGGGCTGCCAATAGTTTGCTCAAGTGATGCTGTAATGCTTTGTGTAATCTAGTCTTCCTCGAATTCATAGTGCTTTAGCTATGCTGACATACTGTTAATCAAACTGTAGATTGTTCGAGGCACCTTAACCTTGCCACATGGGGGAGAGAAGGTAAATGTCGTGAATTGTGCTGCATATGCTGTGACTTTGTATTTGTTTTTGTTTTGGTCAATTTGAGAACTTAATCCTTCCTCTGTGCCTTATCAGGTTCTGAAAGTAGCATTCTTTGCTGAAGGGGCAGAAGCAGAAGAAGCAAGAGCAGCTGGTGCCGACATTGTTGGAGGAGTCGAACTTATTGAAGAAATTTTGAGTAGGTTCACTCTTTTAGATTATACTAACATTGCCTCTCTTTTTTCTCTTTTATTGAAGTGAATTCCTATGAAACCTTACTATTTTGTCATCTATACAACCACCTGCAAAAATTACAGATTTGAAATAGTTTCCACGGCAGAAGCTAGTTAGAAAGATTTCTTTTAGATGATCAGTTCCAGGCTTCAAAGTTTGTATTCTTTTCAGAATCGTGTGCCTCGTTTTTAATTCAAAGCTGACAACATTGACGTGAGATTTGTTTTTTTATTTATTTTATTTAAGTTGCTATTTAGCTCTTGGGGAACAGTGTCTTGATAGTAGTTTGATTGTTTTGTGATCTAAGGTGCTGGCAAGGTTGACTTTGACAAATGCTATACAACTCGTCAGTTGTATCCCCGGGTTGCCAAGGTTTGAGGACATACAATAGCCTGTAAACTTCAGTTCACAAACTTTTAACGGCCAGGTTAACAGATTTCCCCCCTCTTTTTTCGCCTTTCCTTGATGCAGATAGCAAGGATCCTTAATCGTCATGGCTTGATGCCCGATGCAAAAGTGGGATTATTTTTCCTGGGTTTGATGTATGAGTATCTCTGCACTAACTATTCAAGATTTTCTCACTTTTGTACTTATTTTACTTTTTAGCAAGGGACCGTTGTCAGCGATGTAACAAGAGCAGTTAAAGCAGCAAAGCAGAATCAGATAAAGTTTAGAATGGACAAGTCATCCATTGTTCATGTTGGACTTGGAAAGGTACGATGTGGTTAGTAATTATGCTTCATTCATGTGGTCTCCAGCACTGGTTTGTGAGCTCCTTTTTTATCATTTGCAGGCGAGTTTCAGCGAAGAGTCTTTACGTGAGAATATTGGTGCTTTTATGAATGCACTTCTACAATCAAAGCCTGCTGGTTTGAAGAAAAGTAAGTGTTCTCTGGTATCTGTCTGTTGCAAGTTTAGAAATTATATTACCTTAAGATTTGTTGCATGTATATTTGAGCATTGTCAAACATTTAAATCTCTTGATTTGAAGATCATTAAGTACAATGTGCTTTGTGTTCAAAATGCTCGTGAACAGTTACTTTTCTGGCTAATTTCCTCAAGTATGTTGATGAAGTAGTGTACGGTGCTTTGCAAATTAGTTAACGTGGGCTAAAAAACGTGTTATCTAGTTAAGTATTTTGTGGTGAGGAGAAAGCTGTCTTCAATGTTTGGCCACACGAGTTGGAAGTATTTGTCAAGAGTCTTACCACCTACTACGGGTTTATAATGGTCATCTCACTTGACATTGAATATGATGCATATATATTGCTGTGTCTGACCTTACAAATTTTCCAAGCTTTGATAATTTCCTTATCCTGCTCGTGCAGCTTCTAAATATGCTGGATACGTGAATTCCTTCCATATATGCAGCACGGTATGTTTTACAGAACCCTTTTCTTGTTTATTGCGTACTAAGAACTTCTAAGCAAGTACTCCCACCTTTCTGGCATGTGTGCGAACAAAAACTCAAAATATTGTGCTATCTGTTACCCTATGTCTATATGAACACATACTTCTTACCCTGTTACTTAACTCTCATGGAGGTGCTCTGCTGCAGGGGGGGGGGGGGGGGGGGGGGGGGGGGGGGGGGTTTGCACAATCTAAGAATATTGTTGAATGGTTTCTAATAATTTGTGAACACCGAAAGATGTTGGGAAATCAACTGTATTGATGGCTGGTGCAACCTTCAATACAGTAAGTTATAATCAACTCGCCAACTAAACCTTTTCTAGCCTACTGGAAGCTTGTTACAGTATGTCAGTATGAATAAGTGAAATGCTTCTGGAAGTTGGACATGGAACTCTTTGGTAGAGTCTAAGTGCTTGTTTATGTCTAGACATTGAATAATATTTTCATCATAACTTCTCTTTCTGGGTAGTGCGATTTTTCTACATCTTTTCTGTAGAGTCGGCTTATTGAAACACTTGAACTAGAATAGATAAGCAATAAACGGAATTTGCATAATGTGGAACCGCTTCCGGAACATCGGAAGAGTTGATTCTCGAAGCAATAATCCTGTTTCGTTTCATGAATGCAGATGGGAGAAGGATTTCCCATTTCAATACAGTCTTTGTCCAAAGCCGTAGACCATTACAACAAAGTTCAGCTCAAGTCATAATGGTACTTCTACCTTTCCAGCCGCAGATGTCCCTCATTCTGCATGTTACACCAAGAATATCTATCCAACAGCGTTTTATCTCTTTTATGGTTTAATTCTCCAGGTACGCATTCGAGCTCCCAAGGACGGAAATGATTACACCACTTTCTCGTGCTAGCTACTTACCTCTTCTAGCAAAAATGTAAGTTAAATATGCCTCGAGAGACCGTCTTTCTGCAGTACAAAACTAGATGCTGCTGTTCTAGATAATCTATCGTGATGGCGAGCTTTCCATGTTCTCTTCGCATCCCCGATAGGGTTTCACCAGCACTTAGAGATTCTTTTGTTCAAGTGTATTTAGCACTCTAGGTGAAGAACATTTTTGATAACAGGAAAGAGTCGCAGTCCATTTGGCTGGTGTTGGTAATGAAGGTATGAAGCTCAGAAGCAATAAGAGTATAATACTAGTGAGAAATTGATTATTACTGTAGTCAAATTGAACTGCTGATCATTAAGATGGCAAATGGGCAAAAGCCCAATGGAAACCCACATACATGACACCACAAGGAGCGAACTTAGCCAAGGGCCCAAACTCAAGACCCTAAACAGGCCCAGCCCAACAAATCTAAACTCCCAAACCCTACCTGTAGGGTGGCAATGGGTCGGGTTTAAGGCGGATTGTACTAAACCCATCTCCGTACCCATTTTCAATTATCAAATCCATACCATCCCCATCCCCGCGGGTTTCGGATACCCAAGGGTAATCTTTGCCCCGTACATCTTATTATGATTATAACTAAATTAACACACTTGAATTCAACAAAACATATAACTATTGGGTTGAAACATCAAACCTAATCAATGATGAACCTAATAAAGAACCACTGAAAATCTTAATTAGATCATCCAATTCCTACTAAGTTCCATAAACAAAGTACCAATAAGTAATCCAACACCAAATTATTCATCTCCAAAACACCTATTAAACAATAAAAATCCACACATAAAAGTCAAGTTATCCTTATTTTGGTTTAACTAAGTGAAATTAGGATTGGTTTAACTAAGTGAAATTAATCTTTTAGTCCTTATTTTGTTTTACAATAACCCTTAAGTCCTTTTGATAAATTACAACGTAGTTATATTTTACAATTATAAGACATAAGTAATAACGGGGGCGGGGCTGATATGGGCATGGGGCGGGGCACTCAAATTCATCCCCGCCCCATCCCCACAAGATTCTTTGCGGGTATTACCCGTACCCGCCCCATACCCAGTCAATGCGGGGATTCCCCTTGTTGACCGGGTTGGGTAGGGTCGGATACCCACGGTTACGACTATAATTGCCATCCCTAGTAGGGTGCATCGACTCTCTTGGTCTCAACCACTGCGGCTTGGAAGCTTTGGCAACTCCATCAACCATCGTCGCCAAAAAGTGTTAGAGATAGATTAGGAATAATGGGGTCGTTTGGTTTTGGTGATTGTTTAGTTGGGATAGTTACAATGCATGTATTGTCCACAATGCGTTGTTTTTTAGAAATTTCTCCACAAACAATATAATGCATTGTTTGCTTGATGTGATAGACACTATCACTCAAAATGAGTGAGTATTATCTACTAAAATTTGATATTGTTGAGATAGTTTTGAGGAGATTGTTGGGTGTCTTTTTGTTCCAATTATAACTTGTTGAATACTAAAAACATTATCACCATAATCAAACAATGCAAAGTAGATTGCATAAATTTTCTTAATTGCATGTATATTACAATGCATATTGATCGCAATGCATTGATTTAAGTATCAGCAAAACCAAATCACCCTAATCTTATATTTCCTTGTTCTTCTAGTATAGTTTTTAATATTTTCGTGTCCTTCGAATATTGTGGTTCTCTTACTTATTGTCCAAGTCTTGTAATCTATATAAACCCTTTTGTAGTTTCATAATAATTACACACTACTATTCCTAAAACTCCTATATAGTAGGAGAGCCTCTAACTTAAAGCCTTGATCCAGTCATGAGTCGTAACTCACCCGGTTTTGTCCTCTAAGCAAATCCCTTTGCATCCCATACCCGGTCATGACTCTTATCTCTACGTGTTTTTTTTCTTTGATATTTATATTTGTCTCGTTCAAATAAAACAAATCCCTTCTTAATTATGTCTCTGCTCGCGACCCTAACCATAACACTTCAAGCTTCCGGTTGCCGTTCCCCCAAATCATTCTTTCATCGTTATGATCATAATTAGGGGTGGGATACTATGCTAACCCCTAAAGGGGTAGTGATTTTCGACACCCCCTTTATGATTGGCCAATTTTATTTCCAATCATTGGCAAGTATTAATTAAACTGGTTTTTTATTTTTTTTAATTTTGTAATTTGTGGTCTCTCACCCACATTGGAAAAGGAAAGAATATGGGGAATCAGAAAAAAGCTCTCCCCCCAAATGTGCAATTAATTGCCTTTTTTTCTTCTTTTCGTCTCCTTCTCTCTCCATTTGGACCCTCTTTCCATTTTGATTTCATTTTAACCAAAACCCTCCTCTACTCTGAAACGACCAAAACCCTCCAGCGCCTTCCCCCACCACCATCCTCCTATCTCCAGCTGCCGCCATCCTGGGATCGCCTCTGACCTACCTTGTGGATTGCTCGCACCAGTGGAGTGGTATTTGTATCATTGAAGTGGTACTGCATTGTTGCTCCGTTATTGTTTATCATTGTTATGGAAAATATCATTGCACTGGTATTGTTCTCACTCTAACCTACCTTGTGGATTGCTCGCACCAGTGGAGTGGTACGTGTACCAGTGGAGTGGTACGTGTAATTAATGTACCAGTGAGAGAAATTAATTATGTAATTAATGGGGGTGATTTCGTTTTTCCCCAGATTCTTTCTCTTTTCCAATGTGGTGAGAGACCCCAAATTACAAGATTAAAAAAAATAAAAAACCAGTTTAATTAATACTTGCCAATGATTGGAAATAAAATTGGCCAATCATAAAGGGGGTGTCAAAAATCACTACCCTTTATGGGTAGTCAAGCTAACCGATCCCTCATAATTATTTCCATTGCCGCATTACGTCAGGAGATGAAGTCCCGGCTTTTACTGCTGCTTATTAATGAGTTTTATTTAAGTTCTTTCATGATCAAGAGCTTTTATGGTATGGAGTCCACAGCCAATCTCCAGCCATCTCTCCTTTGTTTGTATGGAACAAAGGCAGTTTCTACGAACACAATCATTCAGATGAATTCTTAGTGTCCTACACCTATACGTTTATTGGTATCGTTGAAACTTAAAACCAATTCATGCATCTCGATCCTGGTGAACTTTTGACGGAGAGTGAGTTTCGTTGCAACATATGAATTGCAAGTTTGATTATTTCTTCTTCTCAAAGACGACGGATAGTTGGCTTTGTTCTTCAAGCATGAGAGTTGATGAGTTTGCATCACATTCTACACTATCACATTGCTGGGGCGTGTTCTTCAAGATTCACGTATTTTGGTCAAGATTGATGTTGTTCTTCACACCATGATCTTGCGGGGGCGTGTTAAATATATATTAGGAATAATCTTATATTTCCTTGTCCTTCTAGTATAGTTCTTAGTATTTTCGTGTCCTTCGAGTATTGTGGTTCTCTTACTTATTGTCCATTTCTTGTAATCTATATAAAACCCTTTTGTGGTTTCATAATAATACACATTACTATTCCTAAAACTCCTATAAAAAAGGAGCCCAAAGGGCACAATGACAGTTCCTCTCTGGACCTACGCCCTTCAAACAACCCTTTAACATCAACCACCTAGAGAAGCATCAAAACATAGAGGTTGATCTCTGTCTTCAAGCTCTTCAATCAGAGTGCAAGCAGAAGGCTTATTAACATCCCCCTGAAATATCAGAGGATCTGCAAGACGAAGCAAGGAGGTAGACAAGGAAAATGTGAGGAGATAAACAAATCGAACTTTAAACAGATTCGACCTCATTTGCCGTTATAAAAAGGATCTTCTCAGATTACAAAGCAATTAATTAATTTGTATGATATACATCACTTATTATGCAAGTACCTAACCTACCCCTTGCTTAGCCTCAACAATGTAGATGTCTCTTTTTCATCATTTCCGTTATGTTGGTTTTAAGCTAATAATGCAGGACAAAATTAATGGCCCAGAATGTGACCTGCTCAGCTGAGTGAGTTATTGTAAATTGCTGCATTGATAAAGACTTCAGCCAGCCCCCCATTAAATAGATGGGGTGTGATTACTCATGAGTTTACTGTATTTCCTGGAGAGCAAAACACCGACAGGATAAGCAGTCTCTTATCAGTTCAGTCCCTATCCACTACTTTATGGTTCAGGCTGCAACGGGCGACGTGGTGTTGTTGTATTATGGATGTGTGTATGTCGACTCCCTTCACCTTGATCTATGATATGATGCAATGAAAGCCCATACTGTTAATCCATTTAAGAGAAACCAAGCTGCTAGGGTTGCAGCTGGTTGTAAGGAAGAAGAAGAATGCGAGCAATAATTGTAGAGAAACCCGCAAAGTGCTCAGGTCTCATATTGATTGTATTTATACTAAAGTTCAGCAGGGGAAATGAAGGTTAAACAGTAAAACTTGATTTGTCCGTTAAACTGTAATTTAAACAAACATAAACTCTCATCGCCACGTGTCTTCATTTGCTTGGCCTTCTTGTCTCCACCTAACGGTAAGTTCAGGTCTCCACGTCGTTGTTTTAACCATCGCTGCTGCTAGGTGGAGGGGAAGGTAGAAACGAAACGTTTCTTCCCTGTTCTTCTTCTGCTCTTCAGCTGCTGCACTTCTGCACTTCTTCTTCAAGCTGCATTCGTGCTTTCTGCTCTGTTACTCCCCCATAAGTAGGGATGGCAATGGGGCGGGTTTGGGGCGGGTTTGCCTAAACCATCCCCATCCCCGCTTTCAAATATCTATACACATACCCGCCCCATACCCATGCGGGGGAAGTTTTTGCAAACCCATCCCCATACCCATGGGTTTCGGGTACCCATGGGTAATACCCGCCCCGTACATCCAACATTATAATACGGAATATTTTACATGTAGACTTTCAATTATAACATTAAACGCACCTACTATATTATGAAGTTTACAAAGAGACAATAATTTTTAATATGATTCAAAGCATCTTATCCTAAAGCATCCATTAATCCATATCAGAGTAGAGTACAATGTCATTCAAATCATTATTCTCTACTGTGATACATCTATTAAGTAATAATTAACTAATATAATCTTGTTAAGAAGGGAAAAAAGTGAAATAGTGAAGGGAAAATTGAGACAAATAAATTAGATTTTGATTTGGGTGGTCACTTAATTGCATTTCTACTATATATTTTTATTGAGTTATACTCACTATTATTGATAGGTTACAAATCGATTCACATGTTTTTCATATGTGAAGAAATATTTTTGATGGGGCGGGTATGGATATGGGTATGGGGCGGGAGAGGCTAAAACCATACCCGCCCCATACCCATCAAACTTTTTGCGGGTTTTACCCATACCCGCCCCATACCCGGTCAATGCGGGAATTCCCCGCGTTGACTGGGTCGGGGGCGGTCGGATACCCGTGGGCATGGGTTTAATTGCCACCCCTACCCATAAGTTGGCGAGTACATATCAGAGACTCCCAACTTATCCAACAGAAAGTTCAACCTGTATCGAGTCAAACCTTTAGTAAAAAGATCTGCCAATTGATCATCTGTCCTCACATGCTGTAATTTGATCATTCCAGAACTGAGTCTTTCCCTTGTAACATGGCTGTCTATTTCAATGTGCTTTGTTCTTTCGTGAAACACCGGATTCTCTGCTATATGAATAGCTGATCGATTATCACAGTAAACGTCGATTGGTAAGGGCACTTTGATTCCCATTTCAGCCAACAAGCTTCTCAACCATTCCAATTCCCAGACCAAGTGAGCTAAAGCTCTATATTCTGCTTCAGACGAGGACCTTGAGACTGTGGTCTGTTTCTTGGACTTCCATGTCAGCAAACTACCTCCCAGCAGGGTACAGTACCCTGTCACTGATCTCCTAGTATCTGGGCAGCTGGCCCAATCTGAATCCGAGAAACCTGTCAATTCCAGTTTGGTTCCACTTTTGAACAATAAGCCTTGCCCTGGGGCATGCTTTATGTACCTTATCACCCTGTATGCAGCCTGTAAATGTTCAGTATAGGGATCTTTCTGAAATTGACACAATTGCTGCACCGAATGTGTAAGATCAGGGCGTGTAATTGTCAGGTAATGCAGCCTCCCAACAAGCCTCTTGTAAACTTCAGGATTTGTCAGAGGTTCTCCTTGCTTTGCCTTCAGTTGAACTTTGCAATCTGTAGGAGAGAGACAATCCTTGGCTTCCATGTAACCTGTATCTTCCAAAAGATCCATACAACACTTCCTTTGATTTACAAAGATTCCCCTGTGATCTCTGTAAACTTCCAGCCCTAGGAAGAACTTCAAAACTCCTAGATCTTTGACTTTAAATTCTTTTCCCAGAAAGACTTTGGTCTGTTCTATGTCACTCAATGAACTCCCAGCTATTAAGATGTCATCTACATAGACTAGCACCACAAGCACTCTACCCTGGAACTTCCTGATGAACATGGAATAATCAGAAGCAGCCTGAGAGAATCCATTCTTCAACAGTGATGAAGTTAATTTGGCAAACCATTGCCTACTAGCCTGCTTTAAACCATATAGGGACTTTTTAAGTTTAAACACTATCCTTGGATCAGAAACAACTACTCCAGGTGGTGGTTTCATGTAAACCTCCTCATTCAAATCACCATGGAGGAATGCATTGGCAACATCCATTTGATGGATGTGCCAATCCTGTGATGCTGCAACAGCTAACAAAGTCTTGACTGAGTTGATCTTTGCAACAGGAGAAAAGGTATCTAAGAAGTCAATACCATAAACCTGTGTAAAGCCCTTCACAACCAGTCTTGACTTATGTCTTTCAATGGAACCATCAGCTTTGTGTTTAATCTTATATACCCATTTGTTGTCAATGGCCTTCTTCCCTTCTGGTAAGATCACTTCATCCCAAGTGTCATTTGCTATCATTGCATCCATCTCCTCGTTCATAGAAAGTCTCCAGACCAATTCCTTACAAGCTTCTGCATAAGTCTTAGGTTCTTCTGCATTCATGACACTTAACACAAAGGCCTTATGAGATTCAGGAAGCTTATCAAATGACACAAAGTTTTGTATGGAGTGGCTACTGGTGGCTCCTGAAAACATGAAATCCTTGTGCCAAACAGGTTTGGTTTTGATTCTGGTAGATTTCCTTAATCCAGGATCCTCCCCTTCATCAATAGGTTCCTGAGCACATAGTTCCTCCTCCCCATCAGAATGCAGGTCAGGCCAGGCAATAGTTGGGCTAGGATGATGAGAAGAAGAAGGAGGTGAGGTGCTGGTGGAAGGAGTGTGAGAAGTAGAAGGAGAATCAGGATTAAGAGAGGAAGAATGAGACTGAGATGGATTCTGAGAGCTTGGTGAAGGAACCTGGGAAAAGAAATGATCAGTGGGAACAGGAGAGTGAGTGGGAAAGTCAGATGTAGGATGGGAATGAGAAGAAGAGGGGGAAAAGGTAGGAAGGATTGGATCAGGAGAGGAAGGAATAGGGGAAGAAGTATGTTTGAAGGGGAAAATAGTTTCATGGAACATGACATGCCTGGAAACAAACACATCATGGGTATTGAGATCAAACAGCTTATAGCCTTTGATCCCAAGAATGAAACCAAGGAACACACACTGTCTAGCCCTGGGGTGAAATTTTGTTCTATCTCTAAGCAAAGTAGAAGCATAAGATAGACAGCCGAAGACTTTAAGGTGGGAAAGAACAGGAGGTTTATGGTAGAGCAGTTCAAAGAGGGTGAGATCCTGGATAACCTGTGATGGCAACCTGTTAATGAGATGAACTGCATGTAAAATGCAGTCACTCCAGAATGTCAAAGGCAAACCTGCCTGAAATCTCAATGCCCTGGCAACATTCAGTATATGCTAATGTTTCCTTTCAACACGAGCATTTTGCTCTGGAGTCTCAACACAAGAGGTTTGATGTTCAATTCCATGAGTGGAATAGAACTCAGCCATGTGGAATTCACTTCCCTGATCACTGCGAATAACCTTAACCAACTTCCCAAACTGTCTACTAACCATCACACAGAAAGCTTCCAGGATTTTGCTTGTTTCAGATTTCAATTTCATCAAATAAGTCCAAACAGCTCGTGAATGATCATCCACAATAGTAAGAAAATATGAATAACCATCATAAGACTGAACTGCAAGGGGTCCCCAGATGTCTATATGAATGAGATAAAAAAACAGAATGTGCTCTACTGGTACTGATAGGGAAAGAAAGTTTTCTTTGTTTAGCAAAATGACAAATCTCACAATGTCTAACAATGGCCCTATTACATCCAATAAGTTGGTGTTCTCTCTCTTTACTAGGGTGACCTAGTCTCCAATGCCAGAGTTCAATTTGGTGAGGTTGAAAGTTGTAGGTGGCTGCTGTGTGGTGTTGAGGTAAGGCTGGAATGTTGGGGAAAAGGTGGTAGAGCCCTCTACTTTGTCTGGCAAAACCAATCTGCTTCCTGGTCACTAGGTCCTGAATATGACAAGAGTCAGATTCAAAGTGTAAGGAAAGAGGTAGGTCATGGGTAAGTTTACTAACTGAGATGAGGTTGAATGTAAAACTAGGGACCAAGAGGACATTTTGAAGATATAAACCAGGATGTAGTCTAACAGTGCCTATGTGACTCACTTGCACTTTAGAACCATTAGGTAGATAAACAAACTGATTTACTGTAGGTTTAGCATCAGACAGCAAAGAAAGTGTGCAGCAATCAGCAGATATGATCTGAAGCACCAGTGTCCAATATCCAGATTTGAGCAAGTCCCATTAACCCATACTGATTGTGAGATGATAGAACAAACTTACCAGAAAAGTTGGGGATCTGTGGTAAATGTTGAGAGACAGAATATGCAGCATGCTTGAGTGAGGGCGAGAGAGGTGGTGAAGGACTCATGCTATCACACTGAAGTAGGGATTTCAGCTTGTTAAGCTCTTCATTAGTAAACCACTGACTGCTTTGACTGCTTTTGGTTTCCAGACTCAGATTGCTTCCTGTAGAACCAGAGTCTTTGCTCTCTGAATCAGACTGAGAGACAGCACCAACAAAGCTATTCTCTCCTGCCATTCTGGCTTTTTTGTTTTTAAGTCTGTAGCACTCCTCCTTCAGATGACCATTCTTCTTACAATATCTGCAGAACTTGCCTTCCACCTCTGTGCCATCCTTTCCACCTTTACCAGGCTCAAATGAACTAGTGTTCTTCTCCTTTTCACCTTGTGCTGCAAGAGCCACTGAGTGAACACTTCGATTAGAATGCCCTTTGCCTGATTTAAGCTTCTGTTCATGTTGCAGGATGTCGTCCACAGCTGCTTGCACAGAGGGTAATGGCTTCATCATCAGAAGTTGAGTTTGCACCACATCAAACTCAGGTCTGAGTCCTCGAAGAAACTTGATGAGGTATTCAGTCTCCTGTCTCTCCTTGAAAGCCTCAACTGCTGCACAAGGTCTAACTCTAGCTATCACACAGTCACAATCAACAATAGGGTTGAATTGGAGGTATTCCTCCCATAACCCTTTCAAATGCACATAGTATTGGGTTACACTCAGACTTCCTTGCTTAAATCGATCAATATCACCTTTCAAATTTGCAAGTCTCAGTGCATTGCAGCTGCCAAACCTCTGCTTAAGTTCATCCCAAAGAGTTTGTGCTACTTCATGCTGCAATACACTACGACGTATGTCCTTCTCAATTGAATTCAGAATCCAACACAGCACCATGGTATTGGACGCATCCCACAAAAGAAACTCAGGATGAGTTCGATCTGGCATAGGCAAGCTGCCATCAATAAACCCAATCTTGTGCTTGGTTTTGAGAACCATTCGCACAGCACTTTGCCACATCTGATAATTGTGTTCATCTAACAATTCTGAGACTATAGATTGTCCTAGATTTTCACTCGGATTGATATAATAAGGACTTCCAAACACATAGCCCACTGGATTGTTAGGATTACCAGCATAGATTTGAGCAATAATTGTAGAGAAACCCGCAAAGTGCTCAGGTCTCAAATTGATTGTATTTATACTAAAGTTCAGCAGGGGAAATGAAGGTTAAACAGTAAAACTTGATTTGTCCGTTAAACTGTAATTTAAACAAACATAAACTCTCATCGCCACGTGTCTTCATTTGCTTGGCCTTCTTGTCTCCACCTAACGGTAAGTTCAGGTCTCCACGTCGTCGTTTTAACCATCACTGCTGCTAGGTGGAGGGGAAGGCAGAAACGAAATGTTTCTGCCCTGTTCTTCTTCTGCTCTTCAGCTGCTGCACTTCTGCACTTCTTCTTCAAGCTGCATTCGTGCTTTCTGCTCTGTTACCATCAGGTTAATCAGTGATTTGACTTTACTCGTACATAACTCAAATCGTCGTGGATGAATTGTGCATTGATATATCTCTTGTTCGCTGTGGCGTAACCGGGATTTGATTCAAGATGGATCCGAATTCAAAAGAAAAATATACATGTTATGGGACAATCCAAGTACCACATCGGTAATACAAGGGAAGGTACCCTTGTATATTAGAGTCCACCTAGCCCAATTAGTACGAGGTCTTTAGGGGAGGACACCCAAGAGTAAAATCGTGTGGGCTTGGCCCAAAGCGGACAATATCGTACTAATGGGCTGCCTAGTTATGACAAGTGGTATCAGAGCATTTGGTTGCGGTTTTGGGAATTTGGCGTTGGACTAGGGGTGGGCAACGGGGCGGGACGGGTACGTTTGAAACGGGTACCCAGTCCCATTTGGAGAACAAAGTTCATTCCATGTCCCAACCCATATAAGTAAACGGGTACCCATTACCCGTACGGGACGGATAACGGGTACCCAAACTACCCATAAATACCCAAAGTTTGAATCACTAAAATTTTAATAAAAGTTAACTTAACTTGTGCCCTACTTAACAATCACAATATCCATACGTGTTACAAAATTCATCCCAATCACACAATACGACAAATACTCGGTTTACAACCTACAAATTCATGAACAACCACAAGGCATAGAATAAATCATTCCAAGCACCCTTAACATTAACAACTAAGAAAGTAAGAAGCTGCTGCAGTTAATTGCAAGTTGGAACTATAAAATTATAGTTGCTGTAAAACTAATTTGGGGAATGGCACGCTGCTGTATGGTCTAACTAGCAAGCTGTTGGGTGTTCTGCTCCAATTTCGAATTCAAATTCCGATGACCCCGCTGGCAGCTGCAAGCCTGCAACCTGCAAAAATGAGAATTCTTATTGTCGCGACATCGTGGAAGGACGGCTGGGCTACGGAGATTATGATTAGCGCGACGATCGAAGAGAATACAGCCCGAGGAGAGATCAGAGGAGTCGAGGCGAGTTGTTGGGCGCTGGTTACGCGGTGCGCTTTGGCCTTTCAGTTTCTATTTCAGGCTTTGAGCCTTTGTATAATGAACGGGTTTAACGGGTACCCATATTACCCAAACGGGTATTTGCGGGTAACCCGCGGGTACCCATTGTAGTAATGTACAATCCCAAGTCCCATCCGTTAATAATATTACGGGTATTATGGGTACCCGTAACCCTCAAAAAACGGGACGGATACGGGTATATACCCAAATACCCGTTACCCGTTGCCCACCCCTACGTTGGACTGAAGTTTTGCTTTGTGGAGGTTGCTTTCAATTCTTTAGCTTGGTTCGGTGGAGGATTCGCTTTGAAGCTGACTTTGGGTAGTTGTGTTTTGGTCTCGCTTGTTTGGTGAGAAGTTTGGCTGGAGTTTGTTTGATAGTAAGAATGGCTACTATCAATATGAAGATTGAGAAGTCGATTTGGAGTTGCAGGCTTGGAGTTAGCAGTAAATTTGATGTTGGTGTTATGGACGGTATGAAGATTGAGAAGTCGATTTGGAGTTGCAGGCTTGGATTTAGAAGTAAATTTGATGTTGGTGTTATGGACGGAAATAACACCAAGCTGGTTCTGCATGGCAAGTCCCAACATGGATTGGACTTGCTGCATGTTTTGATGTGTTGACCGCCCTTAGGGCTAGGGGCATCTGGAGGTAGGGGAGATTCTGGTACAGCTGATTTGGAGAAGTTTGGTACATTTGACAATTTTGATTGCATCTGAGTTTGGCGATTTGCATCGCGTTTGGTCTGGTGATATGAATCGCATTTGGATATGTCTGGCAATCTTGATTGCGTTTGAGTTTGGCGGTTTCGATCGCATTTGGATACGTCTGGCGATATGTATCGCGTCTGGGTACATCTGGCAACTTTGGTTGCGTTTGGTACATCTGGCAACTTTGGTCGCGTCTGGGTACATCTGGCAACTTTGGTTGCGTCTAGTACATCTGGTATTTGAGAGAGAATTCAAGTCAAGGTGGAGATTGTTAGAATATGACTTGAATTTGATTTGGGTTTGTTTTGTGTTTTAGTCCTATTTTGTTTGGGTTAGTGTTTGGGCTTTGTTTGACCTTTTGCTTGTATGTTTGGGAAAAAGTGTTTGGTTTTCTGTTTAGGATTAGGAGAAGAGTTCTATAAATACTCTTCATCACCCTAGTTTGTAGAAAGGTCAGTCAGGTTAGTTTGTTTGGTTTGTCTGTTTGGAATTTGGTTTGTAACATGTACTCTCCTCAAATTAGTGAAATTTGTCCCCCCTGCCCGTGGATTAGCTAGCACACATTGTGTTAGTGAACCACGTTAAATTTGTGTTCGTTTGTGCTGGTTTGGATTATCGATTGCACGCTTCTGTTCTGACAAGTGGTATCAGAGCCTGGTTCGGCGGATCTGGGGCGGTGGACGTAAGTTCGGTGGACCCTCGTTTGGTGACCTCGGGATTTGAGATTCGCATATGGTTTGGTGGATCCAGGAGAGTTTCGCATTTTGGAAGCAGATCAAAGAGAGTTCTGCGTCTGGTAAAGTCCTTATACCGAGAAGCCCATCGATACAAGGCATCTGGCGGATCAAGATAATTGCTGAGGAGAGGACACGAAGTTCGTGGTCCTTGTCTTGAGGGGAGGATTGTTATGGGACAATCCAAGTACCACATCGGTAATACAAGGGAAGGGACCCTTATATATTAGAGTCCACCTAGCCCAATTAGTACGAGGCCTTTTGGGGAGAACACCCAAGAGTAAAACCGTGCGGGCTTGGCCCAAAGAGGACAATATCGTACTAATGGGCTGCCCAGTTATGACAATACATTACAGATTTTACTAATATTTAAATGACTCGAGATAATTTTTCATAGTTTGTTGACGTATTTTTGTTTGAGTGTGGAGAATTCAATACTACACTAGAAATTAGTAAAAATCATAATCAACAATTACAGACACATTTTTTTATGTAAATTCTAGAGCTATTGTATAATATGTAAGGTTAACGTGTTTTTTGATAGACAACTAAAACCGTGAACATGAAGTACTGAAGTTAAGTATTGTGAAATGTATGCAATTATAATTATTTTTTGGTGTCTTAATCTAGAGCCAAGCTATGAACCAAAAACAAAAAGAATCTAGAGCCAAGGTAGGTCCGGGGACCCACCCTACCACAAAATGGCTCCGCCACTCCTTGCCCGCGCACATTTATTCGGGTGGGTATGTGGTCAGATCACACTCCATTTTCACGCGAAAAAGAGTCATGTCTTTTTTATATTATTGAATGATCGTCATATTTTCTAACCATAGTACCATACTACACACCAAACCATAAACTTTTAAAAGATATTTTTGGACTATAGCTATTTGTTACTATTATGTTGTGTAATGTCCATTGGAATTGAGATGCAAACTGTACGCTAATAACCATATCAAAGTCGGATAAAGCATGAACTTTCTCTAGACAGTTGGTTGGTGGATTATTGAAAGATTTTATACTAGTGCCCATGATGATTCCAAAAAAAGAATATGTATAACTTTCTATTGTTTTAATAATTTGCAAGGAGTCTATTATAAAATGTTGTCAATTTTCTTAATGGTAGTTGGAGAATTGTGCTTGTTGGTTACCCACAAACCCCATCCTCGACAAATGACAATGTGGATGTATAACGGGTCATAACTGTACGAACTCGTTCATAAGCGAGTGAATTAGTTTGACATGAAAATCCATCCAATTCACTCATTACCCACCCCTAGTTACCATTAGTGACTAATCAAGCTAAGGTTTAGGAGCCCTCACAGTAGTCTGAAACGTAGCAGAGGCATGGTAAGGTGATGCAGAAGGGAGATGGTTGAGATGATGACCCATGAGGGTTGGCTACTTGGTTTTCTATTTTGGGCACTCGCAGTTATTATCAAATGCCACATAGACTTGGCTAATAAGTAATTTGCTCCCGTTAGGCGTAGTTAATGGACTGATGTAGCTGCTGCTGCTGCTGCTGCTGCTGCTGCGATAGGAATTCTGTCATCATAGGCATTGGTGCGGGGGGAAGGGACAGAAGTGTTAACTACAGAGAAAGTGCTGGCATGGCGTGCAGCCTTTGGGCAATGGGCAGTCAGTCATAACTCGTATGAGTCTTTCCTTTTCGCCGTTGTTCAATTCAATTCACCATAACTCTAGTATAGATACAGAGAGAGAGAGAGACGTTTTCAGGTGTGTGTTTCGAAATCCCAGTCGGAGTCAAGTGGTAAGTAGGGCTGCAAATGAGCCAACCTGCTCGCAAGTGGTTTGATGTTCGATTCGAGAAAAAATTGCTCGAAACTTGACTCGTCTATTAATGAGCCAGCCTTGAGCTAAGCCTTGTTTATCTTGGGAAGCTCGCGAGCTAGCTTGACTCGTTAGCTTGTTGAGCTCAACTCGTGAGCTGACTCGTTTAAAGCTCACGCGATTTCTCAATATTGTAGGTAGGTAGGTAGGTAGAGAGTCAACTTGATTACCGACTTATGGTCCATCAGTATATATGTTTTGAGTCGGATTTTGATAATTCATAGGATAGTTAAATTATATATCTCACTCTATATAAAGCTCAACACAGTGAGTACGTGAGCAATGAAATGACGTATTATTAATTTTAAAAAGAAAATGTGTAACATAGATTGTTTCGTATCTATGAAATAACATGACTATTTTTTTCCCCATCAATTATAACATCAAATACTAGACACTAGTTTAGTAAACAAGTCTAGTTCAAACACGGGATGATATCGTGCTCGACTCGTTTATTAACAAGTCGAATTCAAGCTAACGTAAAACTCAGTTCGCGACTATGCTCAATTGCAGTTCTAATAGTCTGTCATTTAAAGAACCATAATTAATGAACCCACGACCACCGGCAGCTGGCTGTAGAAAGAGGCAAACCAAAGGAAGGAACACATGCATGTGGACATGCAGGCTGCAGCAGTGAAAAGACGTAAGAGAGGGAGGCACCTGCTGCTGCTGTATTCACCGAGTAAATGTAATTCCCTTTTTTCTTTCTTTATTGCGTGTTTTTGTTGAATTATATAACATTATTATTTATTTGTTTTGAAAGCGACCCAGAAATGAAGAAACGAGGGTGCAGCAGAGGCAGAAAGAAACAGTGTTATACTGTGATGCAATATGGGGCAGTTATGACTCGACTCATTAGCCATTTGGTTTTGGGCACGCACTTCATCTCTCCTGGCAGCAAACCCCGACACCCAAATATTATGCCCTTTTCCGGAGACACCAGTCGTTGCCCTTTTTTGACCAACATTCAAGGAAAGCCTTGGAATCCACCAAAACACCCTACCCCAACATTTTCAACACTACTCTACTTGCTACTAGTGCTGCTGCTTTCCAGTATGCTTCATCGATTAATTTTAGATATATAATCATCAGTGGCGGAGCCAGAAAATTGGCCAAGGGGTGCTTCTTCATGTAATGAAAAAGTCAACTATGTAATAGAAAAGTCAACTCTAAACGAACATATGAAAATCAACTTCATTATATGACTAATTCAGTCTATTTACTTAATTTGGAGATGAAATTGAGTATAACAAACACACAAACCTAACCCTAAATTAACACAAATAATAAAATTTTCAAGTAATTGAAATTAAAACTTAGATTTTACCTTGTTGTTAAAGATTGATGATGTCAAACAAAGTAATTTTGTGTTGCTGGCTTGTTGCTCCCCTACCTTGCTCACGATTGAAAAGAGAAGGATTTTTGGAGGTGAAGGACGGAAAACGAAAGTCTGGAGCCTAGAAATAGTTTGGATTTGTTGGGTAGGAGTCGGAAATATGGGTGGTGGGTGGAGGTTCGGCGAGCTTGGAGCCGGAGATGGAGAGCTTGGGTGCTGGAGGATGGATAGCTTGGAGGTTGGGCGAGCTCGGCTTGCAACTCGCAGCGCCTCTGCTACTGCTGGGTGGAGGAAGAACGAAATTGTAACTAGGGATTGCTGGGATAGACGATTAGAGTTTTGCGTTTTGATATTAGGACATATAATTAACATTGATATAATTAAATATGTATGTATTATAAATGAAAAATTCTTAGTCGAGATGGTAAAGATTTCTTATTGTCAACTACTAGATTAGTGGTTTGATCCTTGCTTTCTACTACATATATTGGATTTTCTTTTCCGTCCCAAAGCCAAGGGGGGTGCATGCACCCCCCTCAAGTGTGCACAGCTCCGCCACTGATAATCATACGCTGTTACTCTTAACGGTTGTTTGCAATTTGAAGACTTAGGAGTTAAGAACTCGAGCTTCTAATGAATGTGAAGATTGCAGAATGTGAAGATTACACGCCCCATCAAACGAAAGTCGACACATGAGCTTGGAGTTTGCACAGACCTGTCATACCATATGCTTGAAGACAACGGTTTAATATTGAGGGTCGTGAGAACTTGAACACGTGATCTCAATGACAAACCAGCTCTGATAATGTGTAGTAAACCAACTAGTCCCAATAACTCGAATTGTTGGGAGAGACCGACCCATGTATGGTACTTAACTACTTTCTTATAGTATCTGAAATGTTTAAAATTGAGCATTACACCTGATGCAATATTATTCTCACCGAATTTTGATTTACAATCTCTATCGTTACCGAAACGTTGACATCCCGATGTTTTAACCTAAATCTCATTTGTTAAATTCAACGAAATACATGTATTTTCTCAATTGCTATGATTTGTATAAATCTTTCTCCCAAATCTCATTCTCCTAACACCCTTGATTTTGTGTTGCTTGTGGATGATTTATTTAAATAGTTTACTTATTTATAGGGATGGCAATGGGTCGGGTTGGGTTCGGATAGTGCATATCTGTTACCCTACCCAAAGTAGTTCGGGTTTTACCCATACTCATACCCACATAAGAAACGGGTAGAAAATCAAAACCATGCCCATACCTGTTCGGGTTTCGGGTATCCATGGTTATCCATGGATAATAATTTTTCTTCATAACTCCAACCAATATGTTAACATTCTCGCATATTCTCACATTATGTAAGAGGAAAAATACAACAATAATTCACTAGAATGAAGAAAATTAATTAAAACAATACAATTTCATGAAAATACTATATTTATATGCTAAATATTAAATATGTTAGAGAAAAATAATGATTATTTTTAGATAAAATATATATGAATGTGTATAATCGGGCGGGTTCGGGTTGGATAGTGAGAAACCCATGCCCACCCATTACCCGCAATATTCGGGTTCGGGTTTTACCCGTACCCACTAAAAGTTCTTCGGGTTCGGGTTTTACCCTACCCGATTATGTCGGATTCGAGCGGATATCCACGATTACGGATATTTTTGCCATCCCTACTTATTTATTTCTTTAACTTAATCATTTTTTTAGGAGCGGTAATATGAAGACCATGAGCCTTGAAACCAAACTAATGCTTTTGGTACTAAATGCTTTTGGTTCCAAACTAATGCCTTGAAACCAATACTAGGAATGGGGTTTTCTCGGTTAAATCAGCCTATCATCTTGCGCTCTCACTAGAGAGGCGTGGAGGGCATTGGAAGGCGTTGGCCAGTTGGATGGATAAGTCAAGTTGGATTCGGGTGTGGGGTGCTAATGTTTCGCCTAAACTTAAGGTGTTTGTCTGGCAGATTCTCAATCGTATCCTTCCCACTACTAAAGCCCTTATTGAGAAGAAAGTCCCAGTGCTCCCTCGTTGCCCGATCTGCTAGGATGCACCCGAGACGATGGAGCACTTGTTTCTCGACTGTCTGGTGGCCCGCGCCCTCTGGGAGTTTGCTGGGTTGGATTACCTCGGTGAGGAGCTGCCTCGTCATACCTTTCCTCTATTTCTAAAAAGGCTGCTGGCTTTAATTCATCACCCAGACTTGGTTATGGCAGTTGTCGCCATCCTTTGGCGTATCTGGCGGTCTCGGAACTGGGTTGTCTTTGAAGGCAAGCAATATGGGATCCCTGCTTTTATGCGTCAGTATAACGAGCAGTATGAGGAATGGATAAGGGTGTCTAGGGGGCAGGGCCCTCCGGTCTCTCGTCCAAGGATACAACAGCTGGAGCCAGTCGATCCTGGTGCGGTTGTTTGTATGTGGGATGGGGCTACGAGGAGTGGCTCTCATGCGGCTGGGGGATGGTGATTTTGACGCCGGCTCGGGATATCCTCTGGGTTAAAGGTGTTCAGTTTCCAGAAATTGATGATCCTGTTGTGGTGGAGTTACTGGTCCTCTGTGAAGCTATGTTGTGGTGTCGCGAGCATGGGTTTGAGGCGGTAAGATTTGAGGGTGATGCCAAGGTGATTATAGATAAGATCAAGCAGAAGGATGTCAGCGATTGCCAGATGGGTGTTGTTCTTGATGAAGTTGTTCAGTACTTTGCTGCCCATTCTTGGTTTAGTGTTCGATTCGTAGGTCGGTGTTATAATAGGGTAGCTCATGTGGTGGCTAGAAAGGCCATTTCTTTGTACCCGACTATGTGTCGCTTCTTTGACTTTCAGACCTGGCTGAATTCCAAGGTGTAACTGTCTTCGTTTCAATCAATATAAGATTATCTTTTGTAAAAAAAAAAGAAGAAGTAATTGATCAAGTTAAATGGGAAAGTTTCAGGATAGATGAGTTACATGATAATGAGGCGGGCTTGGGGCGAATTTTGCTAAACCCATCGTCATCCCCATCCCCATCCTCCTTTTTAATTTATAAACCCATATGCTCCCTATTCTTGTATGGCGGAAGTTTCTAATCTCCATCCTCATTTCTACGTTTTTTCGGATATTGTGGATAATAACTTCCCGCAAATCCAAACCAAATTCAATTTCAAATTAATGTAATCAAGTGAAGACACATACAATTTAGAGCTAGAACGTTGAACATAGATCATATATCATAAATGAACCACAAAAGTATGAGAAACATAAGAAAAATTTAAATCCTTAGGGGAAATTAGGGCTAAAAGGAAAGTGTATATATTAAATGAAGGTTTTTAACACTACATTGTTTTAAAATTTTAGTGAAAGATGGACGAATAAAAAATCAGATGACTTGTAATGGGTTAGATAGTATATGAATTACATGTGGGAGCTATTATGAGTATGGGAATGAGGGGACTTCTAAACACATTCTCAACCAATTCTCACTACTTCGACACTTATTTTATGGGTATTATCCATACCCACCTCATATCCATCTTGTTGACCGGGTCGAAAGGGTTAGATACTCACGATTGTAAGTACAATTGCCATCCCTAGTTGCACTCCTTACTGCTTAATGATGACAACACAAAATTGACTGGTCTTCGTGTGAGAGATTACATTTGCAACGTCATTTCTATTGACATTATCAATTTATACATTAATTTTAGTATTTGTTATATTTTGGTATGTAAAAAAACCCAAATGTCGGTGTTCAAAAAATTATATTGTTATAAGAATCAAACCAAATAAATGGATGGACAAGTAAATTTTTATTTATTTATAATGGTGATGACTGGAAACCAATTACATTAGAGGTGACAATTCTCATTCCAATCTATCAATCCATTAAAAATATCCACCTAATCCAATCCATTTAATCCAAATCCAATTGGATTGGTTGATTCATGGATCAATCCAAGGATCCAAATGGCAAATTACGGTTTGGTACCTATACTTTTTATATTTTACATTTTGGTACCTAAAATTTAATTATTTATACAAAAAATCTCATTGAAAAATTACGTTTTGATACCTAAAAATTTTCATTACGACATTTTAGTACCTAAAATTTTCACATTTTACATATTGGTCAAAGGTTGAGGATGTCATTTGGATTCATGGATAATCCATCAATCCACTTGATCCAATCCATGAATCCACTAATCCATTTAATCCAATCCATTTGATCCATGAATCCACCAATCCATGCATCGATCCATTTGCCACCTCTAAATTACATTAGCAGTTCGACTCAAACTACATGCGAGCGAGTGACTTTCTGAGTGTAAAAGCAGCAGCTGAACAAAAAAATCCTAGTGGCCAACTAGCTAGCTAGGTCCAGATCTAACGTCCAATATGTTATACGCGTGCATTCGATCCACAGTGCGGGAATTGGAACTTCTGTTTGGACGCGGATCAACATCACAAGCAAAGCAAGAGAACACCAAACCAAAACAATACTAGAGAGAGAGAGGGAGAGAGCTAGCAATATCACAGTATGAACAGCTATAGCAATAGTGTAGTCGTATAGCAAGTGACTGAAAGAGACGCAACACAAACTGGGGCAGGCGATTTTAAGAAGTTGGTCTGCTGGCGTGGCCACACTCAGCCCTAGCCGTGGGATTAAATTTTTTGATAGAGGAACAGTGCGAGCGGGGGAATCATATATATGGTCAGTAATGGCAGAGAAATTATTGCGAATTTCACATGGGTTTTGTTTCCCAAAAGACAAAACCAGAGGAGTTGATCTCTTTCTATCTTCCTTCAGCAGCAGCTTTTTACTTGAAGGCCGAGCTGGCTCTTACAGCATTGGTGAAATTAATACACTGGAGAGAGCACAGGCTATGGATGTGTAGCTATGCCTTTCTAGCTTTGCCCTAGCCCTGCGCCTGACAGGAAGATCCAAAGATGATGGACGAGCTGACCACCACTACTTACCACCGTACCCTCATTTTCTCATTTCCCCCCCTTTCTATTAATAATTGCATGGCGTGAGCCAAAAAGAGTAGTGGGTACAGTTACTCCTCTTGATAATGGTTCGAGTGTTTGTGAAAATTTTGGGTCAATGCTAATGGTCTTTCTGGTAGTAGCGACGAAGTCAGAAATATGAATGAGGATGAATCATCAGATTGAACGATCTCGTCTATGTGATGCACTAGTAGATGTCAACTTGTTGTACATTCAAATATACGAGATCATTGAGAACCATGTGTACACAGGTGGTGACAGCCAAATGTACGTTATCGTGATTTGACGATCAATCCTAATATACACAATTTGAGTCATGTTGCAACATTGGAAGATTTGAGTTCCGGCTACTAATAAATGTTCATCAATAGGGAACAATACTATGCAAAAAGACGTGCGGGATTCAATCAAGCGAGTTCATATCAGACTATGCATCCATTTGGTCTTCACGCGATTTAAAGTCTGAGCTATCGGATTAAAAGATACTTGGATCAGAACGAGTTGAGCATCTTGCCCTTCATGTGTCACGAAATTGATCGGGTTTTGTGCATAGTCAATCGGGTAGCCAATAATTCTCCTCTGTGGCTAGGGTTTTTCTTTGGACAAAGATCTTGGGAGGCAGCTAGCTAGTGTGAGCACAGAGATTGCGGTTGGCGATTTGGCGTACGGTATTGTTGTTATTGACTAGACAGTAGACACAAACGTGGGGCTGGAATGGATGGGCAGCTTGTGGGTGGATTGGATGGACTGGTGGTGCAGTAGAGTCTACAGTATACGTACCTCTCACTTTATATTTATTTCTAGTTTGTCAAAATTTCACTCAGATTTAATTTTCTATGTATTCTTTGCACTGACATTGTGTACTACGTATGTACATATACAAGATGGAGAGTTGTGCAAAGATGAGGGAGAGAAAACATACAGATGTCTCTCTCATTGGAGAGTGAGCCAGCACTTTGAAGAATTTTTTTTTTATGTTAAGATAAATCAATAAATAGTAGAATATTGAAAAAGAAAAAGAAAAAAGGAAAGGAAATATATCTTTATGACAATACTATTGTATCTCGAACACAAATACGTTACATTCACATGTCTCCTTCAAGAAAGACAAGCTATAGTCGGCTCCCAGGAGTCCTGACCCATGTTATCTTGCTATGCTGAAATATTTGGAAAACAAGGAATGATATGGATGAAAGTGAAGTATACCCCTCATACTGGGTTAGTCGTTCCTTGCAACAACCACTGCATTAATCGATGTTCATGGATGAAAAATCTCATAAAGAGTCCCAATGCATAGATGTTGGGGGAGAAAAACAAGCCAACAGAGTTGTATTTCAAAACAACTTGGAATATTCAAGAATTCCTAAATTCTAAAGAAGGATTTGAATATGATTTTCTATGACCCCCGAATCTTTAGCTGGAACCCCAGTTTGGATTCGAAGTTATGTGAATCACTTCCCTCTTCACCGTCGGAAAATGGAGTTTGAATGAATTGAAAAAAATTCGAAACTATAAGTTCATAAGAATTCAAGAAGTTCTACGAGTCTCCAACTAGAATCGAAATCAAAATTCATCCTCATGAGTTACTTGCCCCTGCACAAGACAAGTAGGGAGATGGTTGGATTTCCGAGCCAGGTTGGCAAAAAAATTAATTGGCAAAGCTGCACCTAGCATAAAGGTGCTTCGTAGGAGACAACCCCATGTCTCGTGTCCAACTTAAGGATAATAAAAAATAGTGCTACTATGAAGACTAAGCGAGTTTATGTTACTTTTTCATATGAATTAATTTTCGATTCGTAGAGTCTAACGTAATTTGGATGCTTTGTGATATGATTTATTAAAATACATTGAGTTCCGGAGAATTCAGAAAATTCAGAATGACAGAATTGTAGGCAACCCACCGGGGGGGGGGGGGGATATGGAGCGATTCAATACACTAAAAAAAGAGGCTTTGACAAGGGCCAAAATAGGTCGTTAATTCTCCAAAATTGTCGGCAAAGATTATTAACGAAGGGATAGGACCCCTCATTATAGGTTTTGCCAATAAAAGTCAATACTGATAGAAAAACTCTATCCGGTCGTTGAAAGTATCAAAGAGGGTATTCGTTACAAATCGTTGACAAAGGTTTCAATCAGTCCGAAGGAAAATAAAAGAATTTTTGTCATTTTTTATACAAAAGATAATCTTGTATTGATTGAAAAAGAGTTTGACACATTACACTCTGGTATATAACCAGGAGATTAAATCAACATAACGACACGTAGCCGGATAAAAAAAAGGTTTTTGCAGCTATTAAGTGAGCTACCCTATTGCTATTCCGACCTACAAATCGTACAGTAAGACCATTATGATTGTCCAGCAAAGAGTGAACTTACTCTAGAATAGCTCCAAAGAGGTTATCCTGCCTACTAGGCTGGTAAGAAAAACAATCATGTCATTAATGATGATGTAAGTAACATAATTCCTCATTATTGATGAATCCTTTATGATGTTCAATACCAATGTAGATCACCTCTTTTTGAGATTTCAATCATAGAAAACAATACATTTTTATTACTAAAATCAACCTTGGCAAATGCTAATTTATCTTACTAAAAGTACACCTATAAAACTTCATCCAAACTTGAGTGAATACCCATCCAGTATTAAAAGCACATTTATATAATTGTGTTTTATCAAAATATAAGATAACTTAGACAAGTAACTTAAACTCTTGAGTCCTAACTAGCTGCAACAATAGTATTCCTTTCTTCAACTTCTTGTATCACTCTTCTTTGATCCCCTGCTTGTGTACTTCCTTTCAAGTCCTTGCTGAATCAATGGAAACAAAGTCATGTTATTCAATATATTGAAGTCCTTTCTGAATCAACGAAACAAAGTCATGTTACTCAATATTTTTTTTATAAAGGTGATGATGAAGAAGTATTAAGGAATAAAATACACTACTAGAAAGCTATATCTAAAGAAAATAGAGAAAAAAATAAGAAACACCAATAAATGAATGAGATACTTCACAAGAAATAAAGGCACATCTAGGACTATAGATAGGGATGTTATCTTGTAATTAAACAAAAGGGCATAAGGTGGCATATCACAAACATGCTATTACAGACATATGAAAAGGTAGAAAAATAATTGAGAAAAAAGTACACTTTGAGGTAGAAATGTGATTCTTAAGTTATGGAGTTTTATCCACAATCCAAACTAGACAGATTGGCTAATATGAAAGAAGATTGAAGTTAGAACCCAAAGTAAAACCAATTGTGTGCTTTGAACAAAAAAAAAAACAAAAGGTACAAAGAGTAAGCTAATATGACACTAGTAGCTTGTTGAAACATAGGGGCCAAATAGGAGATGGAGGCATTCATTAAAGAGATGTGATGCAGTCTGGTAGTTATATAAACTAGTTTCTCTTATAGTTTACCTTCTCAAATTTTGAGCAATGTTATGGTAAGGATCTAGAACTCTCCTCAATTTAGACTACTTGCAACTAGGAATATGAACTTACTTAACCTGTGAAAAAACAACAATGCCTCTCTTTAGAACAACCAGTGACATTAAACATCAATATAGAAAATTCAATGGTACCGCAATATCTACCAACATCAAAAGGAAGAGATTCCCTTATCTTCTATATCTCAAAACACCCAATATATTCTCCATACAAATATCCAAGTAAGGCAGAGTTGATGTAAGACAATCATGGTTTCATCCCTACACCGATGATCAATAAGGAAACAAACATAAAAGTAAAATATAATAGCACAAAATAGGAAAAATCCACCATATAGACCTAGACTACCAAAATTTCTTGTTCTAAGAACTCAACAGTTCAACCCTGATTCCCATGTCACTAAATATGTATCGATGTCAAACAAAAGGTGAGCAAAGTATGGGTAATAGGGGACGACAATATGAGCCACCACAAGTAAGTATATCTCATTACTTATGTATCACAACATAACTTAAAAACTGATGAGGTAATGGAAATCTCATAATCATCCATTCATCACGAGAAAAGACTTATGAATCTAACTTTTCATTATGTAGAAAGACATGTCACCTTAGCGCAATGTAATATTGATCAAACACTGTTATCACAAGATGTGTTGCAAACTGAGAGATTTATTGATTGATCGGGTAGGAATATAAATACAAGTCTTTATGCCTTTGATCTCGGCAACAACCTACCATGACCCCACTACCATGTAGACCAGCTAACCATCTAACAAACTTGACTAACTTTTTGCTTAACAAACTCTGAAAATTTAGCAGTAACTAAAGACGAAGAACTAGACTCAACACATAACAATGAGGACCAAAGAAAATTTTACAAAAATGACATAGTTTCACTAAAAGACTCAAATCGTCTTCTGCGCACCACAAGATTCTTCTCCTTCTCCAGATCGGGTTTGGATTCAATTCAACCTTCAACAACTACATTATCCTCCCATGAACTGAAGCCTCCTCTGCGGACTTCAGCTCACCTAAATTCCACTACTTACCTTGATTGTTTGAATTCATCTTCTCCACACACTCCTAGCTAGTGTCTCAACATCTGAAATGTATCCAGATGGAGGATGAAGTGCCTTGGTCATGATATCTGCCACCTGCTCATGACTTCTGCAATGTTCCATCTCAATTACTTCTTCATTAGACAAGTCCCTCAGAAAAGGAAAACACACATCAATGTGCTTGCTCCTGCCATGGAGTACATGGTTCTTGGAGAACTTAATGGCATAGCTACTGTCACACAGAACCTTCTTAGCAGTAGACACACTGCTCTCTCACCCCATGTGCCCAAGTTTTCTCAGCCAACACACTGCGCAACACAATAGGGTCCTGTCACGAACTCAATTTCTGTTGTTGGCAGGGTGACCACAAGCTGTTTCTTCGAATCCCAAGATTTAGCACCCTCGACAATGAAGAACACATAGCCACTAGTGAATTTTTTTTATCATCCAAGTCACTTGCATAATCACTATCAGTAAAGCCAAGAAGCTTGTCATTTTCATCCTTCCCTTTATATTAGATACCATGAGTAACCGTGCTCTTCAGGTTCTCAAGACCTTCTTAGCTGTAAACATATGTTGCCTGGTATGTTCTTCCATGTATATGCTTAACAGAAACACACAATACATGATATCTGGTCTAGTAGCATAGATATAGATCAATGAGGTATAAGGTTCTTCACAAAATTACAATATGACATACCAAAATTTTCTAGAACTTCCTTCATGTATTTTGCTGGTTGATGAAGATCCCAACCAATCTAACAGACCAAACTTCTCCAAAACTTCTTTTACATATTACTGCGGGTTGTGAAGATCCCAGATTCACTTTGATGTACCTCAACTCCTAGAAATAATTCATCTTCCCTAGGTATTTCATATCGAATTGTGATTGCATAGACTTCTTGAATTCATCTATGAGCTTAGGACTGCTACTTCAGTATGTTAGATCATCAACATAGAGATTGACAAGCAAGATGTCACTTCCAGACTTCTTTATAAACAATGTATGTTCATAATCACTTATTTCAAACCTAGACTTGTGGAAGTAGGCTTCAATCCTGTTGTACTAGACTCTTGGAGCCTGTTTTAATCCAGAAAGATCATTCTTAAGCTTGTAGACCTTCTGCTCCTCTCCCTGCACATCAAAACTTGAAGATGTTCAATGTAGACTTCCTATATCAACTCACCATGTAAAAATGCAGACTTTACATCGAGTTGATACACTAGAAATCCATGATATGCAGCTAATGCAAGAAGGGGTTCTAATGGTGTCCCCTCTGGTCATAGGAGAAAAGACTTCAGTATAGCCTATGCCATGCTTCTGAGCATACCCTTTTTCCACCATCCTAACCTTGAACTTATCCACAGATCCATCCTCTTTCAGTTTAGTTTTGAATATCCACTTGACTCCAATGGGACTCACACCTGCAGGCAAAGTTCTCAGTAGCCAAGTATCATTCTTTTCAATGCTGATCATCTCCCGCTTCATTGCATTCCTCCACTTCTCATCCTGCCAGAAAATCCAAGCCTTCAAAGTAAGTGTTGTAATAGATTGACAGATGACTAGGTGGATGTCTGGCCCTGGGACCTAATCCTCCACTAGGATTTCCAAGCACATCAGGATTAGGGTCATCATCTACCTCCCCATAATCCTGAGATGCAGTAGTTGTTGCATGAGTTGCTCGAGTTGTTAGTGTGATGGCAGTGACTGCATCTGCTACTTCTGATGTTTCTGCAGTAGCATATTCTTCCTCATGTTCAGAATTGCACCATGGCTCATCACTAACATTCCATATCACCTTAGTCAACAGTGGTTGTGTTCTTGACTCCTAAATCCAACCTTTGATCTCATCTAATACCACATCGCTACTGATTACTACTTTATTGGTAGACACAGTGGATAAGCCTAGGAAATAACATTGTATACTCTTGTCATCCAACTCCCTCCTTAGATGATCATTTACATGCACATAAGGCAGACATCCAAACACCTTAAATTGACAACAACTGTAGTTGACTCGCTATGACACAACTCTTAACAAAGTCCAAGTGTAACCAATGAAATGGATTGCAGTATAGTGGCTCAAGTAATAAATATAGAATCCACGGGTCTCTAGAGTTACTATTACTCAGCTTTGGTTCATTATCTAGCAAACCAGATTAAGATAAAACAACTAAAACTACTCTAGCAAACTACAGTTAAAGTTAATCTAATTACAGGTTGAGAACTCACTTAGGTATGATTCCCCCTAGCCACTAGCCAGATTAATGATTGATGATCTCTAACCTTTTTCACTTTCATTCACAATGCGGAGAATCCTTGACTAGACCTTGAGTCTCGACTAAAGGAACAAGGCCTTCTTGAGTCAATTGCCTAGAGGGACGTATCCTTATCTAGAACAACTGATCAAGGTGTTCTGAACTAGATTCCCTCTATCAAATGAGGTTCTCAATCGATACAAAGCAGTGAATCGACCTTCGACTAAAGCAGTCGATCCAATACTATCAATCTATTGTGCTTTATTGACCTGATCAAGCATTTGCTCTCATAGGATCAAAGCAGAATCAATAATATCGACTACAGCAGAATTGAATCATGAAAACATGCATAGATTGAATATGAACTCAAGATTATAAAGTAGGAGTACTCATACAATCATCCAATCAAACAAACATGGCTAGGGTTCCTCAAAACCTAAGTGAAGGGAATTTACTCCATAGAGAAGAGAGAGACTGCATGAAGAATCTTCGGATCATCAGTCTTCAAGTCCGGGCTTGTTCCTCGAGCTTCCAAGGTGAAAAAATCCTCCAATTCCACTCCAAGATTGCCCTCAAATCGCCCTCTCTCTCTTTGGTTCGTCCCTTGGGTGTTTGGGATCCAAAACCCAACTCTCCCCCTCCAAGAACGCACAAAACAGGCTTTTAACAGCCTGCGATCGCAAAACCCGGTCCAAACACGTAGTCGGGTATTTAGGGAACCGACCGGGTATCAACAAAATGCACTGGGTCACTTTTCTCTGCCAAAAATACCCTATCATATGTTTTGACCGGGTATTTTACAGTTCCAGGTCCCCTATCTTTGATTCTTCGTTTCTCTCTCGTTCAGACTCCCAATCAGATGTCGTTTGATCCCAGACGCTCGTAGTCTCATCCTCTTTATTCTCATGACAAGCTTACATGATTCTATGGGCATAAAATGAGGTAGTAATCTATTCTTCTTCAAGTCATACCCGAGTTTCTTCCTCCGAGTCGCCCATTGACTAGAAACTTGCGCCTATGCTTCACTTTATGTGCTAGGACCTGGAATATGAAAAGGAACACAACCTGGTGTAAAAAATGCAAAAGAAGCGATAATGCAAGCTTAAACGATCAAGAAACAAAGGGGAAAACATGTGAAAATATCGAGTCATCAGTCGTCTTCCAGAGTTTGTTGTGGTTGGACTTCTGTTTAGTACATGGCTAGTCCAGGCCGCTGCTTATGGCTAGAACACTACAGGAACCTTGGTATCAGATAGGGGACATTTGACCATATTCATTATGGTTCTTTCCTCCTCTTAGCAACCCCATTATGTTGGGTAGTTAATGCAGCAGTCAACTCCCTCCTTACTCTAGCAGCTTCACACATTTCTTTGAATTCATTCAAGAGAAAATCTCCTCCTCTGTCAGTTCTAAGGAAAACGATAGAATCTCCAGTTTCTTTCTCTATCTGGGCCTTGTATTTCTTGAATCAACTTAAAGTTTCTGACTTTGTTTATAGGAATTACACCTTAGCATAAGTAATGGTCAAAAAGTACCTCTTTCCTTCATTGGAGACTGGTGTGATTTTTCCACAGAGGTCATCATGGATCAACTAAAGCCTTTTGGTTGCTCTCATGTGCTTTGCTTTGAAAATTTGGCTCTGTGTTGCTTCCCAATCAGACATGTGAAGCAGATTCCCAGTTCTCCTTGTAGCTAAGGTAGACCTTGCACAAGGTAAAATAGTTATAATGTATAATCCTCTACCCAGAATCCTCCCAGGAAACACCTAGTGAAGCCACCCTACAAATTCAAAGGAAGCTATCTCTGCAGAGGACAACAACATGACTTTTCTTGCCACTCTATGGGAAGCCCAGTTGACAGTCCCCGAAACCGAACTAAAACTATACAAGAAGAACGTCAACACAACAATTGAGAGCAATCAAGGAGCAAGGGACCACCCACCTAGTCTTCAGCTTATCTACCGTCTAGATGTCGAATGACCACTTATAATCTCCTTCAATAATAACACGGGGAATACTTTGAGAGAGTACTGGAGACAAGGCATCCCTGGCAGCAAGCAACTCAACTAGATAAGGGTTCGACACTCCTGGATGAAGGAACCCTTAGGCCATGGAAACTTTCCCATCTAAGCCTCGTATGACAAGACCAAAGAAGCACCCTGAACCATGAATGACAGCATCAAAGTTGATCTTGATAAAATCTTTGGGAGGGCAAACCCATACGGAAAGACGAGAGGGTTTTTGTCGAGACGGTAGAGAAACCCAATCTAAAACCAGCCTCGCTGTTCCTTTGCCTGCAACTGCCAGTTTAGTTCCATTTCCCAACTTCACATTGAAATCACCATTTGCTTCCATGGTGATAAACTAGTGTTTCTCTCCACTCATGTGATTGATGCAACAAGAATCCTGAAACCACCAGGTGTCCCTCTTCTCACACGTCTGTGTATCCAAAAGTGCCATTGAGTTCTGCAACACCAGATCCTCTTTTACTTCCTCTTATTCAACAACAACCAAAAGTAAAACATCTACAGTCATATCAGGGTAGTTGGATTGTGAACCACCAGGATGAGAATTGTAACTGGTGTAGTATGCCTGTTGATTCCCATACCACTTACGGCATTTTGACTTGAAGTGGCCTAGTTTATACCACTTAAAGGATTCCACCAAGTACCGATTCCATCCTCTTCCTCTCCCCCTACCTCTACCCTGATACATGCCCCTCCCTCGACCTCTTCCACCTCTTCCTCCATATTCAGAAGTTATTTTCAAGGCCGGTTCTTCTTCAATTGATTGGTTGGCTAATTTTTGCTCGTGCAGAAACAAATAACTTTGCAAAGCATAAACACTCAACTCATCTATGTCCTTAGATTCTTTTATGGAACATACTATGTAATTGAATTTGATATTCACAGTTCCTAATACCTTTTCCAATATCTTCACATTTGGCATCGATTCTCCACAATTCCTCATGGAATTGGCCACTGTCATCACTCTTCCAAAGTAGTCTGCAAAAGACTCTCATTCCTTCATTTTAGCAGTTCTAATTTTCACTTAAGGCTTTGAAGTTGTGACTTCTTCATACTTTCACTCTCCTGGTATCTTGTCTTCAATGAATCCCATGGATCCCTGGTTGTTGCTTTCTGAGTGATTATATTTAGAATACTTTTGCTAATGGAGCTTAACAGGAAATTCTTTGTCTTTAGATCTTTCAATCTCTTCTCATCCGAGACCTTCTGCTGAGCCTCAATCAGCTCTTCCCCTTGTGCAGGCTCCCTTATTCCTTCATGAACTATGTCCAATACTCTTTTGATCACACTAGATTTTCCATCAACAAGCTCCAGTAGTCAAAATTACCATCGAACTTGGGTATACAAACCTGATCTAAGTTGCTTTCACTCATTATTGAATACTCACCAGGAATCAAATTGCCTCACTTATTCTCTCTTGTTTCCAACTCAGAGAATCACACAACTCATCACTCTTGGTTAAAGATTGCAACTGAATGCTCTACCACTGTGTTATCACAAGATGTATTGCAAACTGATAGCTTTATTGACTGATCAAGTCTTTGTGCCTTTGATCTCGACAAGAAGCTACCATGATCCCACTACCCTGTAGACCACCTAACCATCTAACAAACTTGACTAACTTTCTTCTTAACAAACTCAGAAAACCCAACAACAACTAACGACGAAGAACTAGACTCAACTGACTCAACACATAACAATGAGGACCAAAGACAAATTTACTAAAATGACACATGGTAGTTGATAGAAACCTATTTCTTAGGGATATAATTATTATTTATGCCAGGATAATTATTATTAGGGTAAGTAGTCTTTTACTCGTATTAGGGTTATTATTAGGTTTTCCTATCTTTCCCTATAAATATGTACTTGAGTATTCACTCATAATCAAGCAAGAACAATTATTCAGAAAGTACCTCTCCCAAAACCCTAACCCTCTATCTCCTAATTTCTCGTTCTCTAGCCCTCTAAGGCTTCGACCGATTCTATCTTCTATTCTTCTTCTTCCTCTAAATCCCTAATCTCCAATTATGTTCTTCCCCAATTCAATCCTCAAATCCCTAAATTCCCAATCAACCTCACAATCTATAGAACCCTAGAGATAGAGTTCTATCATTTGGTATCAGAGCCAACATGAGCTCATCAAGGCTCTCCGATCCGGCATGGGCTCGCGTACGACAACAGATAGAGTACACGCTAGCCGACTTCAAACGCGAGGCACGTGAGCATGGGTGGGCCGCCGTCGAAGAAGATCATAAGGCCACAGCCACACCGACAACCACTGCCATTACAACGCCTTCAATCACAGCTATCGTCGAGAAGGAGAATAATTCACCTCCACCATTCACAGCTGAAATCCCCACCGTACTGCTACCAGTAGCAGTCAAAGAAGAAGAAGCCACAGATGAACCTCTCATCACCAACAACAAACAACAACAGCCTCTGCAGACCACCGAGCCGCTGAACCACCGCCACCATCAGATTCGGCATGGGTCACCTTCAACGATTTCGTGGAGACTTCCCGACAAGTGTTGGTGGATTCCGTAATCCCAAGCTTCCAGTACAAGTGGCGGAGATCGACGAGGAAGTAACCGCTTTTCAGCTTCAGATGCCCACAACTGAAGTCTACTCTTGCAGCCGCGTCCGGGAAGCGCTTCGGTCGATCTGGGGAGTTCAATGCTAGAGCTCAAGCATGGAAGACAAGGAAGAGAGGTAGAGCCTGTAATTGGAAGTACAAGAAGAAGAAATCCGTGAAACTGCCGTCCAACAACCAGGGGAATTGTTCGACAGCGCTCGAGCTAATGAAGATGGAGCCGAAGAAGAAATCGACTCTGGAAATAAAAAAGGGAAAGACAAGGCTGGTGGAGACGCTGACCGACGAGAAGTGGAAGGCGAAGCCACGATCGGAATCGAACCGCCAGCCTCGTCGCTTGGTGGGTTATCCGCAGCCGGGGAGTGAGGCGAAGAAGAAGAGGTCGAAACTGGACGGACGACCCCGCAGCTGGAGGGGCACCTCGCCATCGAGTAAGGAGAAGAAGATTGGTGACGGCCGAACCCTCTACTCGTCGTCCATCGGGGTGGAGAAGCCGAAGAAGAAGTCAGGGAGGACTTGAGGTACCCTGGGTTACTGGCCGTCGAGAGAGACATCGCCGGAGGGTGAGGCGAAGAAGCCATCGGCGAGGGAGTTGCAGACGGAAGCCAACGAAGAAGAGGCAAGGCATCGCCAGGGTAACTTGTCGACGTCACAGTTCACGCGAGAGGCGCGGAGACTGGAGACAACGATGAGTACAGCGGCGAACACAGATAAGAAGTCAAAACCGAAGAAAGAAGGGTGTCGCCAGCTTCGTCGCCAGGTGGATTGCTTGATGTCGGGGGACCAGAAAGAGAAGGTTCTGCCGGCGGACGAGACAAAGAGGGAAGAGTCGACAACGGGATGCCGAATTGTCGAGCCGGAGCCATGGCGGTCGTTGGGGGGATTCATCACCAGAGAAGATGACAATCTCGGCGACCCTGGGATCGCCGTTCGGCCGCCTGGCAACTTTCTCATGGCCGGCGGAAGACACGAGGGAGAAGGGTTGCAGCCACATCGCCTTTCCTCCAAACCCTAAGACGGCCGCATCAATGCTTAGTGCACAGCTGCTTGAGGAGTTGGGCTGGGCCAACTGGGTCATCTTTGTTGGGCTGGTTGCGGCCCAATTGAATCATAATAGCAGTCTCAGTTTGGCCCAGGTTGGGTCTCGCATGGGGTGGAGGGCATTGGAAATATGCTAGCAGCAGATAACAAGAATTCTTATGTTTTTGGGAGAGCGGGCCATAGGATGGGGATGGGCCACATGAGCTTGGTTCCTGGGCTGAGCCAGCTGAACCAATCGATTGGGGCTGGAATTATTGTGATTTGGACCTCGTTTGGGCCAAGTCTTGGGCCGCAACTGAGAAATAAGAGGGCCGAGTTGGAGTCTGGGCCAAAGTTTGGAAGGAACCAGACTCTGATACCAGTCTATGGGCCGACACCTGAGCAAGTTGAGCCGCATCTGCAAACTCCAATTGGGCTTTTCTGGGGCTGTCTAGTTGAGTCTCTCTTATATGGTGTGTGCTTGAAAGAAAAAGAAGAGGGATAACTGGGCTTAGATGATGGGATCAAAGAAGAAAAACTCTATGATTCTTACTTGGTAGAGTTTGAAAAGGAAGATGGGGGGTCATTTGACCATGGTTACGACATGAGTGATATGGGTAGGGAAGAAGCAATGAGAGCCGGAGTTGCTGGTGCGAGGTTTGTTCGAGTAGTGGAACCTGATTGGAAGAAAAGGAAGCGCAAGAAACGGAGAAGACAACACGCGAAGTGCACGCGAAAAGCATGGAAGTGGATCAAGTTGGTCAACCTTGAGGGCAAGGTTGGTCTCAAGGGGGAGGGGATGATAGAAACCTGTTTCTTAGGGTTTCAATTATTATTTATGTCAGGATAATTATTATTAGGGTAAGTAGTCTTTTAGTTCTATTAGGGTTATTATTAGGTTTTCCTATCTTTCCCTATAAATATGTACTTGAGTATTCAGTCATAATCAAGCAAGAACAATTATTCAAAAAGTATCTCTCCCAAAACTCTAACCCTCTATCTCCTAATTTATCATTCTGTAGCCCTCTAAGGCTTCGACCGATTCTATCTTCTATTCTTCTTCTTCCTCTAAATCCCTAATCTCCAATTCTGTTCTTCCCCAATTCTATCCTCAAATCCCTAAATTCCCAATCAACCTCACAATCTATAGAACCCTAGAGATAGAGTTCTATCAGTAGTGTCCCTTTTCTCCTTCTCTAGAACGGATTCGGATTCAATTCAACCTTCAACAGCTACAAACACTACATCACAATTGCAACGTCACATTAATCAAACTAAGTTTCTTCGATAAAAAAAAAAATATATTCCAACTCATTATAACCCACTATTTACCAACGTGGTTAGCATCCAACGGCTGTTGCTACTAGCTGCACTAAAAACCCAATGGGCAAAATGGCGTAATCAAGCCTACCGACTTGCTCTAGTCAATGACATTCGCATTCAAACCTTGGAAGATCAACAACAACATTAGTCAGTTAGATACACATAAACCACTTCCCCGTTAGTTACTTAAACTAGTAGATAATATACAGATACTGTCTACCTAAAAGATCTTCTCACGATAGTTTCTCTGAGGTTTCTTCTCCTCCTCGGACCGACACGAAGTTAAAAAGACTAGGAAAAAGAGAGAAACCGTGTTCCTGTTTGTGTGGTTTTATCATTTTCTGCATGGCAGCCAGCAATAAGTTAAAAAAAAAAGGAACAGTGCAGCAGCTTCTAAGGTAAGTAGTTTGGCCGCCCACCTGTTCATACCCAACTGAGCTGGTTACAATTCGTAACCCAGACCCCACTCTGGTCTCTCCTTAGTTAGCCAGCCATGTCGGTGTGATATAAGAAATATTGAACTGTTGGGCATAGAGACAAAAACAAAGACAAAGGAACATCTGCGGGCCTGAAATCTTTACTAGGTAGAGAGAGCTATGCCATTCGTACCCTTTGATTGAGTGACACGCGTGAATACGTTGCTTGCCCTTTCTATTTTAAGATTCACCAAAGATTTTCTTCACATATGCTACAAGAGGGGTGGGAGAAATTGGGGAATGAGGGTCGTTCTTGGGATTTGAATATGGGGGCTCCGGGTTGAAAATCAGTGGTACGATCACTCGGGCCTGGTCTTGTTTGCGTAAATTCAATTCTTTTGATGATACTGCTATCATTTCTTAAATACACGATATATCCGAACATAATGGTCTTAATGATTCTTTAGAAGCACATTATGATCTTAATGTACGATTTATATATAGGTTGGAATAGTAATAGGGTAGTCCACTTAGTTGTTAGAAAGTCCATTTCTTTGTACCCCGACTACATGTCGTTGTATTGATTTTTGGTCCTGGTTATAAACCAGGGTGTAATATATATGTTCGATCTCTTTTTAATCAGTGCAAGATTATCTGTTGTTAAAAAAACGAGATTCCATCTGAACATAGATGGGTAGTTTCATAGTTGTACGACAATAGTTACGTTGATGTTAGTGAACGAAAGTAATCTACAAATTGATCATTCTCATACCATTCCCTCGTGAGTCAGCAATATAAAGATGATTGTCCCGTAATTATGTGTCTTTATTTTATGTGCCTATCGCCAAATCTCCACGACGAAATCATTTGTTGGAAGGCTTGCTGATTCATGAATTACACCTCTCTCCGCCGCCTCTTAATTAATTGGTGATGCATTGGCTACGCCAATACGTTTATCTAAGTGGAGTCCAAAGTTCTATCAAATGCGATGATAAATTTTCAGATTGTAAATTTTTTGTCTTCGAAGTAGAAAACATTCATCGACCGGAATTTGGAAGTTGATGATCATTCTTACACCATTGGCGCAATATTTTAATATCGATGCATAAACTTAACATTCAATCAATTAAGGACCAAACTACCATTTGAGAAGCTGATATAAAAATTTCAAGGACAAAGAAACATAAAAGAAACCAAACCTTTAGACTTTTCATTAATTAGATGATAACCATGATAACAACGACCTTAATATATTAAACAGAATATTAGTCATTCAAGTTGTACTACTGCCCTCAAAACAACCGTACTTTTGCATCCAAAAAAGAAGGGATAACCTACTAAAACTTCAAACATGCTACTTGCAATTCTTAGTTGCAAATAAACACGTTTTCACCCCTTCACACCTTTAACACCTTCCAACCAACTAACAAACCCATCAAACCAAACCAAAACCGACCCTAAAAGACCCAACAAAATCAAACCTAACCAAAATACTAAAAACTTCACTTGTCCATAACCCTTTTTAGCAACCAACTTTTAGTTCCTAGCCACGGCCACAGCATGCAAAGGATGCTTCATCTCACACGACAGCTTCAGCACCTCATCCAGATCAACCGGCTCGGCCGCATCCTCACCCCACTCGAACCGGTTCACCAGACTCGCCACCCAGAGCGACACCGTATTCATCCCGAGATTCTTCCCGGGGCAAACCCTCCGCCCAGCACCAAAGGGAGCCAGCCTGAGATCCCCGCCGCGGACATCGACGACACCACCTTTCTCCAGGAACCTCTCGGGTCGAAACTCCAGCGGGTCGGACCAGACCTCCGGGTCGTGGGTAATGGCCCACATGTTGACCATGGCGGTCGTCCCCGCGGGGACCACCATCCCGTTGCTGAGGTGGACGTCCGAGGTCGACAGCCTGGCCCACGACAGGAGCGGGCCCGGCGGGTGGACCCGCAGGGTTTCCTTCACCACGGCCTGAAGGTACGGCGATTTGGCCACGTCAGCATCGGACAAATCGGCGGCGGGAACAGCTCCGGCTACTGTGTCCAGCTCGGCACGCAGCTTCTGCTGGATTTCTGGGTGGAGGACCAGCTCGGCCATCACCCACTCGGTCAGCAGCGCGGTCGTATCGGTTCCCCTGAATATCATCTCCTGATAAAATTAAAATCGCCCGAGTCAGAAGAAACGTTTCGAAACGGGAAGTAGAAGTTAAAACTATCTACTTAATACTGTCATCATTTCGATTAATCATTAAGTAGATTATTAATGTCACGAGTCAATTAGGTGCATTATTGTGTTATTTAAGAAGAATAACGTATGGAAACAAGCAAAAAAAAAGTTAGTTTTTTTTAATTAGAATTTAAGAATTATTAACAACATACCCACAAGACAGCGATCATGTCATCTTCCTCGAGCTTCTCCTCTCCTTCCAACGACAGCAAGACATCAACGAAATCGCCACCGTCACCGCCGAACTTCCCTTTCATTCGGTGCTCCTCGATAATTCCCTTCACGAGTTCCCTTACACGTGGCACCAGCTTGGCGCACCGCTCGTTGATCTTGCAAGGGTCGTAGAACCAGCTGAGCCAGGGCAGGTAATCGGACCAGTTGAAAGCGCCCAACAGGTCGAACCCTTCGCGAACCATCTCCTTGAGCTTCTCCAGCTCGAACCGGTCCTCCACGGCGTCGTATCGCTTCCCGAATACGCTCCCCATTATGTTGTTGAGCGACGCCAGCTGGAGGTGGGACCGGAGCACCACGCGTCCTTTGGTAGCCATTTCGACGGCCAAGCCGTCGAGCATCGCGGCGCACTCGGCTTGCCTCATCGGCTCATGAGCCGCAATGCGGCGCGGGGAGAAGAGATAAGCCGACGCGATTTTTCTGAGGAGCCGCCAGTACGAGCCGTTGGGGGCGAACCCGATGGCGCGCTCGAACATTAGGCTCCGAGCCGACTGCTTGATGGGGCGGTCGGCGAAGCCGACCGATGTGAGAATCTCCCGCGCCGTGGCCGGGTCTGAGGATACGACGAGGGGAGTGGAGCCGCCGAGGCTGAGAGCCATGAGCTGCTTGTTGGTCCCAGCTCGGCTCCAAGCCATGGAAGCCAGGGTGCGGTGGGCCAGGCCGCGGCTGAGGGCGAAGAGGCTGCCGAATACTGGGAGCCCGCGTGGGCCGGGGATGTGGGCCGGGCCGCGGGAGGTGCGGCCGTGGCGCCATGCTGCGCCGCCCGGGGTGAGGAGCCAGGTGACGGCGGCGAGGGAGAGGAAGGCGGCGAGGAGGGAGAAGAGGAGGTAGTAGGTGTCGCCGCCGAGGAGGGTTTTGGTGCCGAGGAATGCGGGGAGGGTGAAGAAGTACCAGCTTGTGTCTTTGGAGCTCATGAGGAAGTTGTGGTGATCGGTTGTTTCCATTTTTTTTTTCTTTTTCCCCTGGTTTGGTGGAAAGGAAGAGGGAGTATTTTTTTTTCGTTCTTCTTCTTTTTCTTGTGTGTTTTTTTGGAGGGGAAATGGGAACGAGAAGAAGAGTGTGGTGTGGTGAAGAGAGGGAGTTGGGGAAAGAAGGAGAGGTATATATAGTGGAGGGAGGGAGGAAGGAGAAGGTAGGTTGAGTTTTTAGCATTAAAGAAACCTTTGGGGTTCCAAGGAAAAGGAAGCAAAGGGAAAATCAACGTTTTGGGGGGAAAAGAAATCGGTATGAGTTAGTTGGGGTGATGTGGTGCATTAATTGTATTATAATTCCCCATGTTATTAGTTCGGTGATCTATATAAGATTTCTTTTATTTATCTAGTCAATTTTACTAGGGTGAATGTTTGCTTTTGTTTAGGAGGGTAAGGTTATTGGACAGGTGTGGAAGTAAGATTGGAAATGAACTTTTTTTTTTGTTTACATTTTGGATAAGAGTAGAGAGTTTCAGGAAAAGTTAATTAAGATTGGAAATGGAGGTTAGCTTGATGGTTTGTTTTATTAATGGTGACAATTTAGATGGTATGTTTTCTGGTTAAAGAGACAGTGAATAGAGAAAATTTCCGATTAGATTTCATGTCTCGTGAGATCTAGATAATTCATTTGCTTACATTGTATAAATTAGTTAATTTGTTACAATGTGTCGGGATCCCTACTTGTAGTTTGTGATAAGTGTAGGGATCATTCTGTTATTTTCCTTTTGGGACTATTTTGATTATTTGTCATCTCCTTGTTCCACACGTTGATGGAGATGCAGCATGTATTTATTCGGCTGGTACAGGGTTAGCAGAACCCTAAGTAAGAAACATAATAATATCGAAGCACTCGGAGAGCTTTCAAGCTCTCCTTCCCGTGGAGTAGTCCCGTTCATACCGAACGGGGAAACCACGTAAAACCGATCTCGTTTTACTTCCGCTTTTTGTTACTTTGGAATTTTACATGGTATCAGAGCTGTGATTTGATCCAACGTTGTTCATCATGGGTTCCGACGATGAAGAAACCAGCAAGAAGTCGAAGGTTGTTACGGGAGGAGATGCCGAAGCAACAGTTCCCTTACCTTCGCACTTGCTACTCGATCGATCAGACAGTCCCAACAACTTGTTCGTGGGTGAGTTGTTGACCGATGTCAACTACGGTGAATGGGTGATGGACGTGACGGATTTGCTCACTGCAAAAAATAAGATTTGTTTTGTCGCCGCACGGGACATGTAAGGGAGACCTGCTACAGGCTCATTGGTTTTCCACCGAAAAAAATTAGAAGGGGGAGCAGAATACCTCGTGTCCCCAGCACAAGTGAAGGAACGATCAAGGCCAGCGTGCGTCTCCTCAAGCTGCCCAAGTGGATGCGGATGGAGGTTCATTGCAGGGTCTCACTCCGAAACAGTTTGAACAACCCAAACTTTTGCTAAATAGTGATCTGTGACAGCTCACTCAATCTTCCTTGGAGCCGAGTTCGAACATGGCAGGCACGACCTTGTTAAATTCGAATTCGTGGGTTATTGATTAAGGCTGTAACGAACATATTGTTAATCGTGCTTCCCTATTGGATTCTGAGTTGGACTCGAGTCCCATGTTACAGGTTAAAATCCTGAATGGGACTGGTGTTCAAGTCCGTAGTATTGGGGTGACTAAGTTATCTGATGATCTGTTATTACGTCGAGTCCTTCATGTTCCGGATTTTCAGTGCAACTTATTGTCGGTCAGCCGACTCACTGCTGGTCTCCCGGTCGCGTTAATTTTTTTGGGTGACTTCTGTGTTATTCAGGACTTACCAATTACCATCCAAGAGGCTGATTTGGATGGGTAAGCACGTCGATGGCTTGTATTATCTGAGGTTGTTCGAGCAGGAGCATCCAGTGGTACATTCCGTTCGGCGATCTATGGGTGATACAGAGTTGTGGCATATGCGTCTTGGGCATCCCTCGAAGAAGAAGTTGCAATTTTTGGAGAATACCCTTGGCCGTTCTTTTATTCATAATAATGAGCCCTGTCGATCTTGTTTGAGGGCCAAACAAACTCGAGATCCTTTTGAATCTAGCAGCATTAAGACTGAGTCTAGTTTTGAGTTGATTCAAGTTGACATTTGGGGCAGCTATAAAACGGCTTCCATATTTGGGGCACATTATTTCTTGACTATCGTTGATGATTTTAGTCGCGGTGTCTGGGTTTTTTTGTTGCGCTATAAATCTGATGTTGCTCGTCATTTGTTATACTTCTGCAACATGGTTAGTACACAATTTCGTCGACAGGTTCGTCGAATTCTGGCGGACAATGGTCCGGAATTTTCTAGTACTCTTCTCATGGATTTTTATGAGAAAAATGGCATTGTTCTACAGACATCCTGTACTGATACTCCTCAACAGAATGGAGTCGTAGAACGCAAGCATCAACTTGTTAGACACGACTCGGGCATTGAGATTTCATGCGAATTTGCCACTAAAATTTTGAGGAGAATGTGTTTTGACAGCGGCCTACTTGATCAACAGGATGCCGTTACATCCCATTGGGAACCTTTCTCCATATGAGGTAATTTTCGGGAAGGTACCTAAATATTCTCATCTCCGCAGCTATGGATGTCTAGTCTATGCTCGTGATACTCATCAATAGTTGCACAAATTTGCTGCTCGTGGCCGAGCAGGCGTTTTTATTGGGTATCCTGCTACTCAACGCGGGTATCGTGTTTATGACTTGGAAACTCGGACTATCTATACTTCCCAAGATGTTCGCTTTCTTGAGCAGGTTTTTCTCTATCGTGACTTGGATTCTAGCTGCACTCTCGCGCCCGATTCTGTTTCCGCACCTCAATTATGGGGTGCCTACATGACCTTTTGGTGATGAAGATGATGAGCTCGTCATTTCCTCACCTCCTCCCGCGGATCCGCTTCTCCCGCTAGTCCTGCCCCACAAATGGAGACGGACGACCCGCCTACTGGTTCCCTGCTTCGCGACGAGGCTGGCAGTGGAGACTCCTCGTCTTCTCCTCCTGCTACTGTTCCTTCTTCCAGCAGCGCGTCTCGCTCTTCTGGTCCTCCTCTGCCGCGCAAGAGCGAACGTGTTCGGATGCCCTCCACCTGGTTACAAGGTTATGATTACCAGCTGCCTGGTGCGGCGCATTCAGCCACAGTGCACTATCCTCTTGATGATTATGTTACCTATCATCGCCTCTCGGTAGCACATCATGCTTATGTAGCCGCGGTTAGTGCAGTCTATGAGCCCCGGTACTTCTTCCAGGCTGTTCGCTATCGCCACTGGCGCGAGGCCATGTAGAAGGAGTTTGATGCCTTGGTTGCCAATGGTACGTGGACCATCGTTTTTCTACCCCCGGTTAAGAAGGCCATTGAATGCAAGTGGGTCTACAAGGTGAAGTTTTATCCTAACGGAACAGTAGAGCGCTATAAAGCGCGTCTGGTGGCCAAAGGATACACGCAGATTGAGGGCGTCGACTTCCACGACACGTTTGCCCCGGTGGCCAAACTTGTCACCGTCTGGTGTCTCCTTGTCGTTGTTGTTACCCGTGGCTGGCATATCCACCAATTGGACGTCAATAATGCATTTCATCATGGTGATCTCGAAGAAGAAGTGTATATGCAGATCCCGCAGGGCTTTGCGCGTCCAGGAGAAACTCGGGTTTGTCGATTGCACAAATCCATCTATGGTTTACGTCAAGCTTCGAGGAATTGGTACCAGAAATTTACTCAGGCTCTCCTTGATCTTGGTTTTACGCAGAGTCGAGCTGATCACACGCTCTTTACTTATCGGAGGGGTGACACTTTCGTGGTAGAACTCATTTACGTTGATGACGTAATTCTTTCTGGTACAGATTTAGGGTTCATCACTTAGGTGAAAGAGTCTTTGCATGCGAGTTTCACCATCAAAGACCTGGGACCTCTTAAGTACTTTCTTGGGATTGAGGTTGCTCGTTCCCCGCGTGGTATTGTGCTCAATCAACGTAAGTATGTTCTTGACATACTTGCCGATGCTGGTCTTGAAGCTGCCAAGCCCTGTTTAACCCCCATTGAGCAACAACATCACCTTGGTCACCACCCCTCGCCACCGGCTGTGAACCCCGTCGCCTACCGTCGACTTGTTGGTCGCCTTCTCTACCTCACTGTTACCAGACCCGATATTACCTATGCGTTCAATTTGCTAAGTCAGGCTATGCAGTCTCCCACTAAAGCTCATGAGGAGGCTACCATTCGTGTTCTACGGTATCTTAAGTCGGTACCGGGAAGAGGTCTTTTCTTTTCGGCTTCTGCCTCTCTTACTTTGACTGCGTACTGTGATGCAGATTGGGGGGAGGGGGGGTTGTCCTTTGACCAGACGCTCCACGACTGGTTATGTCGTCATGCTCAGGTCTTCACCCATATTCTGGAGAACAAAGAAACAGATTGTAGCAGCTCGTTCATCTGCTGAAGCTGAATATAGATCGATGGCTAATAGAGTGAGTGAGGTTCTTTGGCTACGCTGGCTTCTTCGTGATCTTGATGTTGTTTCCTCTGGTCCTACTACCTTATTTTGCGACAATCAGGTTGCTCTTCACATTGCAGCTAATCCGGTCTTTCATGAGAGAACTAAACACGTGGAGATGGATTGTCACTTTGTACGTGAGCGAGTTCAGTCTCTTGAGATTTCTCCTGCGAAGATTGCCAGTGCCGACCAGCCTGCTAATCTGTTCACAAAGGGATTGAGTGTTGATCAATTTCATCATCTTTTCGGCAAGCTCAGACTTCTCGATATGCACTCCTTCGCTTGAGGGGGAGTGTTGGGATCCCTACTAGTAGTTTGTGATAAGTGTAGGGATCATTATGTTATTTTCCTTGTGGTACTGTTTTGATTATTTGTCATCTCCGTGTTCCACACATTGATGGAGATGCAACATGTATTTATTCGGCTGGTACAGGGTTAGCCGAACCCTAAGTAAGAAACATAATAATATTGCAACACTCGGATAGCTTTCAAGCTCTCCTTCCCGTGGACTAGTCCCGTTCATACCGAACGGGGAAACCACGTAAAACCGATCTCGTTTTACTTCCGCTTTTCGTTACTTCGGAATTTTACAGAATGGGTGTGATTTTAATCAAG